TTTGATTTACTATAGTTAACTATAGTAAACTATTAGTAAACTATAGTTAACTAATTTTTTTGTTAGGGTAGTATTGTGCATCAAGGTTCGCAAAATAATTTGAATAACAGAGTTATACAAGAAATCTAATATTTATTACAAAAGTACTTTCATATAGTTTTTAATGGTCAGGTGAATTTTTAAATAATAGATAAATTAAAATGGGACAAAAATACCATATCTTTGTACAATGCATAATCTTTAAAGATCAAGAAAGGTCGATGCGAGGGGGGATTAAATGTTTTGACTCATTGTGCTCTAGAACTATTGTTTTGTGTAGTCCGCATGAAGATGGTGACAAATGGGGGAATTATACAAGCAATTAAATAGATCAACTTTAAGATTTATTTTTGAATACTAAATTAATATTTGCTGATCCCTGATTTTTTTTTTGTGCAACATAGCTTTATTTATCAGCCTATTTTGTTTTAATCTATGGATCGTTACATTATACTCAGGTGACCGTTAAGACCCTTGGGCCTCTTGTTCTAGTAAAATATCCAAATATGAAACAAATGTACTAGACTCTATGGTACCTTTTATTTCAAGCTCACTGGGATATATCGTGTCGACATACATGAACGGAAATAACTATTGTTAATTGATAATAGAATGTACGATTTTAAAAAAAAGACAAATGTTATTGTCGCCCGCGTGGCGCAGTGGGTAGAGCGTCTGCTCTAGAGTCGCGAAGTAAGGAGTTGATCCTTACGTCGCGGGTTCGAATCCAACTGCGGGACGTGGAGACCGGTCCTTCGGATGAGACCGTATAAACCGAGGTCCCGTGTCGCAGTAGGTGCTGGCACGAAAAAGATCCCTCATTGCTCAATGGCCGTAAGTGCCGAGTATAGGACAAAATTTGCAGCTCTCCACCGGCAAGTGGTGGCGTCTCCATATGAGTGAAAAATTCTCGAGAGGGACGTTAAACAACATACAAACAAACAAAAAAAAAAAACAAATGTTATCCTACACACAGATTAAATGGTACTTGTTATAATATTTTGAATGCCTTTTATCATACATTTTGATATACTTCACAATAGAATGTTCATGTATAAAGATGCCCAGGCATTCACAGAGCCATACCGAATGCCGGTAGACTCCTTTAGTGTTTCTGACGTCACAATATATTTTCCAGTCTTGTTGTTCTGAATGACGTTGATCAGATAGTCGCCCGGGTGGCGCAGTGGTTAGAGCGTTCGCTCTAGAGTCGCGGAGTAAGGAGTTGATCCTTACGTTGCGAGTTCGAATCCCACTGTGGGACGTGGAGACCGGTCTTTCGGATGAGACCCTATAAACCGAGGTCCCGTGTCGCAGTAGGTGCTGGCACGAAAAAGATCCCTCACTGCTCAATGGCCATGAGTGCCGAGCATAGGTCAAAATTTGCAGCTCTCCACCGGCAAGTGGTGGCGTCTCCATATGAGTGAAAAATTCTCGAGGGGTACGTTAAACAATAAACAAACAAACAAAACAAACATTGATCAGATACATGTACAATTAAGAAATAAATTTAAATTTTGAAGATTCATGAGGACATGAACTACGACTTTTCACGCCCATAGGGGCTTGTCTTCCGGATTGTTAAATGTAAAATTTAGAAGGAGAACGGAAGTTTACAAAATCCCAATCAATGTATAGGGAAAACTCAGAGGGTAATCGAAAGAGAATGGTAACACCCAAGGACCTCCAGCTTCGACAGTGAAAATGATAAATACTGGCTAAAGTTTGGTTTCCAGAGGCTAAGGCGGTACCGGGAAGACTCATTCCATTTAATGTATAACTAATTTGTTACATAATTTACAGGACACTTGCTATACAAGCGCGCTATATGTTACACCACGATTATCGCCCTTGCGTCGTTACCATGCAACCATGTAACTTCCGTTCTCCCCAGGTCGATTTAGAAAAATGAGCCCCAAATCGAAGAAATTGTATCCGTTTTCTGTTGATTAAAGCGTGTTGACGACTGACAAACGCATCAACATTTAGGAAAATCATCACTGTAGGGGACAGAACTATGGCAACGAAATAAATTAATGCTTCAGAGTCCAGAAATAGGCGCTGAAGTGGGTTGGGGTTTTTTTTTCCAAGACGAGGGCTTTCGTCCCTTGTAGGGTTTATGTATATATAGGTGTGGTACGGTTTTTTTTAAACGTGGTTTATCTTGACTGAAAGTGTCAGAATCTCTATTTTAACAACTTTTAAGTGTATTTAAAGAAGATTCAAAATTTTAAAAATTCATTTTTAAAATATATTTTATTTACAAGCCCCTATGTTCACGCCGCTAACGCGCTTCATGATAAATATGCCGGCGTGAAACGTAGTAGTTCATGTACCTCATGAGTTTTCAAAAATTAAATTCATTTCTTATATTTACATTATTTTTCTGCTGTGTTGCCACAAATTATGCCATTCAACTGTCATTTTGAAAGCAAAACAGTTTGCACTATAGTTTTGACGTCAAGTACGGTATTATGACGCAACAATTAAGATATTCATGCTCATTCATGGTAGTTCATGAGAAAAATGAACTGTTTTCTATTTTGTAAAGAAACATAAGGTAAATTTATTGGAAATTTAAATATTATCCGTTGAACTGACAGTTGCTAGTGTCGATATTTATTACCAGAATGTAGAAATAATCGGAAAAAATGCATTCCTGCTAAGAATATGTAATAAAAACATATCAAACTCTGTGTCTCGGAAACTCGGTCAGCTTCACCGTGCAAAGACCTCTGGTAGGCATATGCCCAATATTCAGTCAGTAAACTGTAATAATTATATATTTGGGTATCTTTTAAAAAACGTGTTTTTGTAGTCAGTAGATTTGCCAGAGTATATGTTGCTTTTCAACGACTTATGGTCAAGATCTAGTAAATGACTTTAGACTGTCTTTTTTGGTGCTAGATCCATTATGACGTCATAAACAATTTAAACTTTCCTTTTCCCGTACTTTACAGCTCAAATAGAATTATGAAGAAAATAAAGTATTTTCATGGCATTCAATTTGAAATCATGTGAAAAGTAATCCCGATACCTATATTCAATTATACATTATTTTAAAGAAGAGGCTAAGAACATACAAATTACCGTTTTCTGAGAGACTTTAGGTAATCTGAATACATTTCCTTTGTCTGATATGAAAAAAAAACTCCCGTATTCATGACTGGCTTTCTTAATTTTTCATTGAAAATGACGGTTTACAAAATGATTTTTCGTATTGTTTTCCTACTAATTATGCCCCGATACGCCTTATTTGACCGAGCTATAGTTATAAAGCATCATAAAAGGAATTTTTTCTCAAGTTTGAGAAATCTGTAGGCTCTTTTCATTTACTAGATCTTGACCTTAAGCGTGGAAGAGAAGCGAACTCGGTTACTTCCTTTGTGACGTTATACTGTATATTTGAAACTTTCTGACATGGAAAGCATCAACACGTCATGAACAAAGAAATTTTTGCAAAGAACTCTAAGTATTAAAGTATTAAGAGCCTTAAGGCGATTTCACGATTGTGCGTTTAAAAATTAAGATGGTGTTCTTTTAAAAAATTTTGAAAGTATTCGAACCCTGTATGTCACTTGAAAGAAATATTCTTAACAAATTGATATTTCAAAGTTTAAGTGGATCGATTTTATTTAATGGTTAAATCTCTTTCTTTCAAAATATTGCCGAAAAAAAATTATTTATGCAAGTACATTTTTAAATCGTTCTGAATGAAATTTCAGAATTCCATTTCAAAATTTAAATGATACTTAAAAAATGTTCTTTAATCATTTAGTGGATAACAATATGCCACTATATGTCTTTTATAAAAAATTTTCCGTCTGATGTTTAATAACTATATAATGAAGGTTCTTTAAGACTTACATGTATTTTATATTTAATAATTATCTCTAAAAGATTCAATTACACAGGGGAAGATGTGGTCCTTTGAAGCTTTTTTACAAAATCCTTCGTCATTTTGGTACCACTTAGAGCTACCCTGGATTAACCTTAAATGTGTTTTTAAAGATTTTTATATTAATGTAAGAGGAGGATAAAAATACTTCTTATGGCATTATTTTTCTTTCATGCGTAGTTCCTTATATTGACCACTTATCTAATGAAACGGAATGATTAAAAGGAACAACCTGTTCTTGTATAAAACAACTTAAAACTTTTACCTATTCAAGTGGAAGAATATGTGGCTAATTTTGTCTTGTTAAGGACTTTGACATCTTGTCATGCTGCTTTGGTACTGAGGTTCTTTCTATGTTTATGTCTCGGTCAGTCAAAACAAAATTTTACTCATTGTAAAGAAAGATTCAAGGATCTTTTTCGAACGCCGAGAGACTAAGTGACATTCAAATGTGTTTCTGAATATATTTCATCCTGTTAATTTTTTTTATTGTGTTTGAGATATTTATTCCATAGATATCGGTTTTGTTTAGGTTCAAGTACTAAAAGATACCTGTATTATTGCTCTCCATTCTCTTTTGAGAGTACACAAAACTTGGCAAAAATTAAATGTTAAACAAAAAGATCTCAGAAAACATTTTGTCTTAGTATCAGCCAACGAAAATTGCTTTCTTTATGAGATGAATCACTTTTTTTTAATTCCATAGCAATGTTGATTAGTATAAGTAAGAATTATGATTATGTCTTATGATTTATGACATAAATGCAATAAAAGTTTATTTATTCAATATGTTAACAGATGATATCTAATCCTGGTAAATAAAATCAAACAGCTGTATACTTTTTTTTTCAAATTATACTATGAGCATAATAAAAACGGGCAAATGTAATGATGATAGAAAGTGAGATTTAGTGGATAAGATTGTTAGAGATTGTATATGCTAGTATACTATTTTTTGCTATTTCTTTTTGTTTTTTAATTCTTGATTCTGATTTTTTTTTCTGTTCAATTTTTTTGTTTCGTGAGATAACTACTTATTGAACAAATGCCTTTTTTACCTCAGGAATCTTGGACTTTGCTTTTGATATAGAGTCGTTAGTGAACTACCTAGCACATGCAGACCACGAGAACTCTTCTGAATCGAACTCAACAGATTTAGTACATCCGAAAGTAAGACAAAAATCTGAAAACAAATTACAATATTATTTCTTCTCTCTCTCTCTCTCTCTCTCTCTCTCTCTCTCTCTCTCTCTCTCTCATTACGTTTATTGATTATGATGCTTTCTGTCTAATAGAGGATTATATTTCATTGATTCAATATTTTGAAAGCAACTTACGCTAGAAAATCTGGTGACTGTAAAGGCCGGTACACTTGGGAGGATTTGTATTATAATGCAGGTATTATAATATTTTTGTATTATAGTACAGGCATTATAATACTTTTGTTTTATATCACAGGTATTATAATACTTTTGTATTCTAGTACAGGTATTATAATACTTTTGTATTCTAGTACAGGTATTATAATACTTTTGTATTGTGTTACAAGTATTATAATAATACATTTTATTATAGTACAGGTATTATAATACGTTTGTATTACATTCGATAATATTTTTTATCATAATAGATATTATAATACAAATCTTACCGTGTGTACAGGCCTAAACAGCCACGGTAACCTATACAGAAAAGTTATATTTCATTATGTATATTTCTTGTTTAACATTAGGTAAATAATCGAACAAAGTAGGTTTAAGAACGTAAAATATTGTATTATTGATTTGTACGTCGTGTATATTTCCTGATGAAAAGAGCCCTATCTAAAGACATCTTTCATACATATAGTCCTGAAAAACTGGTTCTTACTGTTTCAGAAAGAATACTCAGTGCATGTAAAGTATGGCATGTCAAACATTGCAATATTCGATCTTTTCCATTTGTATTGTATAATTTTCCGTTTGCATTGTATAATTTTCCATTTGTATTATATTATATTTTCATTTGTATTGCATAATTTTCCATTTACATCTATAATTTTCTATTTGGATTGTACAATATTTTTTATTCTATATTTTCCATCTGTATTGTAAAAAAAATCATTTGTATTTGCATAATATTTTATTTGTATTCTGTATTTTCATAAATAAACAATCCTCGGATACAATAAAAATGAAAAATTATCCAATACAAATAAGAAATTAACAATATAAATAAGAAATTTAACAATACAAAATAATAAGAAATAATACAGTAAAAATAAAAAACCATTCAATGCAAATGACCTTTTGACAATACAAATGGGAAAATATAGAATACAAATATAAAATTATACAATTCAAATGGAATATTATAGAATACAAATTGAAAATAATAGAATACAAATAAAATTATACAATACAAATGAAAAATTAAACAATACAAAAGAAAAACTACATGTATAGAATACAAATAAAAGCTATATAATACAAATTGAAAAATATACAAAACAAATGAAAATTATAGAATACAAATAAAAATTATACAATACAAATGGAAAAGACCGAATATTGCAACGTTTGACTTGCCATAGTAAATATATAAATATGAAATACTTATAGATATTCTACTTTAGATATAACATTTTATGCATTTACTACAAAGGATTAAAGAAATGTAGACGATGTTTAGGCATTTTATATACACTGTTTTTGTATATAACTAATAATAAATATAGGATCTCCCATGATTTGTAGTTGGATATGATTTTTATCCAACGAGTTGTGTGTTTTTTATCCCCGAACCTTGGCGAGGGGATAAAAACACACATCGAGTTGGATAAAAGTCATATCCAACTACAAATCATGGGAGATTCTTTTATCCCATGTTTAATACTTCACAACCAATGTTTTACACTGTTTTATATAGGACTCCACTTTATTTTACTTCATCGCGCTAACACAAAAACCATTGTGACGTCACAACTGTGGATTATGAAAAATTTATCCAATGAGTCATATCCACGGGATAAAGGGGTAAACATGGGATAAAAAGAAATATACAAAGATACAAAAAATATCTCTGATTTGAAATTTCGATACGATAAAAATGTATGTATAAACGAAGCCGTATGCATGGTTTCAATGACCGTTGTTACAAAGAATAAGACTTTTTTCATTTTGAAAAGAATTTAAAATTTTCAAACAAAAAAAAAAAAATCAGCTTTTAAGTTTTAAACATACCATGAGCCATTTCTATGATGTAAGATTCTATTTTGGTGGTTTCCTGTTTCTGTAGACAAATTTCTCAGACCCAGTAAGTGATAGTGTGTGGCTGACCATTGTACTAACAACAAATTCACGCACCTGCTGTTAGAGCTGTAAAGCATGTTATCGTGTATGGTTGCACTTTAATGTAAAGTTTATATTGTTTTACTTAACAATGTCATGTTGCATGTTATCATCCGTACGGAGTTATTAGTGAGAGAATATAAGTTGAATAAAAGGAGTAAATCAGTGATTTATCAGTGATAAAACAAATATTCATGTACAGTGTATTATCCTTTGAATATATATTGTTTCGTACCATGTACTATATAGTATACTACTCAAAAAACGTTTTAAACCTGCTTTTTGTGAACTAATGAAATGCACATTTTGGAAATAAATAACGAATTGTTTTTGAGAAACACTCACATACTCATCAGAAAATATTGAAAGATGTTCGTACCAAATGTGCTTGTTTAGTATTTCCCAGAAAACGATTGGTATGTATTACGAGGGGTTATCAAAAAGTTCCTGGACTAGCGCCATAAAATTAAAACCGCTTTAGGCACATCAATGAATTTTAACACATTTAGTAAGCATCATCTTTTCTATCCAAAGAATAAACCATAAATCGAAAGATTTATTTTTTAATGAATTGTTAAAGTTTTTGTAAGCAATGGTATGTCCAGGCGGCGCAACCTCAAATATGACGTTTTTTCTACCTGAGTGTAACTGAGAAAAACTCTTTTGATATGAGCATTTGTCATAAAAAATATCCCGTTGTTTCAGGCATGTGGTAAGTCACAATTGTTCCGTAAAATTTGCAATTTTTTACCCCATTCTGTAAATTCTTTGAAATTTTATCGTAAATTTCATATGGAGTGTACAAAAAAATAAGGGCTTGGAAATGACGTCAAAAAAGGGGTGGGTGGGTCTTTTTCCAGCATTCTATAAAGTTTAGCACCTGGAAAACCTGTCTAGACCTAGGGAATGTTTAAAAGGGCTACACAAAAATAAAACGCATCCAGAGTACTTGTTTTTTTAATGCCCAAAAAGATTCAAAGAGATGAAAGATGCACAGTTTATGTTGATTTGTAGTCAGGGTGTCAAAAGTCAGTCATGTCGAAAAGTGACTTTGATCATGTTTGGTAGAAATTGAACTCCGACAAGCTTCGTATTCTGGCATAACCAAGTGAGGATGTTTCCCTATGTATATATCCATTTACAATATTATAAGCATTGAAAGCAGCTGTTCATGACATTGTAAAGTCATATAAACAGTGCGGGCTTAAGTCATTACTTAACTGCAGATAATCTCATCAAGTTACGTGTATGAGCTAGAGAGAGTGAACATTGAGAAACAATGACGTTGTCGCACGTCATGAAACTAAATGGCGACAGTGCCGGGTGATCATATAATGTCTTTTTTTATTTCAGAATAATTTGGCAAATTATCAACGTATCAAGCTAAAATTTTCAACATTTCTTAAACTTTAGTTGTTTTATATTTCTTATAAATTTTGTAAGTACAGACTACATAATATTAAATTTATTGCAACAGTTCACGAACTTTTTGACAACCCCTCGTATTTAGCAGCATGTTCTAATTTAAAAAAGCACAAGAGATTTCTCAGACGAATGTAGTTTCTATGCTTCCGTTGCCATCAGAACAGTTCTGATTCAAAGCAAATAAATATATTTAGTGTCAGTTATGGAAGACCTGACCTTACTAAAGCATGCCGACAATTTATCAATTAAAGATAAGTGCAAAACACTCTCGCGAGAACACTGCTCAATTCCGAGAACAAAATTCGGAGAAAATTTAGTTCATAATATGCCTAATCGCACTAAGGATGTTATTTTCCAAAAAGGGGATCAACTAAGTACTAGAAAGTAAATTATCAATCATGAATATAAAATCTATTATGCTATTGGAAAATTCATTATAAATTTTGTTGCACATTTGTTTAATAGCAATATATTTAGATGTACTTCCAAAATCTTTTGTTTTGAACAAATTTAATTGATAATAATATATACATGTCTAAGGGATTGGACAAAAATTCCAAAAACTAAATTAAATTACATGTAGTTCACAAAAGCATGTTTGAGCTGAAGTGTAATTCCTAAATTTAAATGTGTGTCTTCCCCTTGTTTGTAGTTGTAGATTATATATATATATATATATATATATATATATATATATATATATATATATATATATATATATATATATATATATATATATATATATATATATTTATATATATATATATATATACAGGAGCGATTAAGTATTTATACCTGCAATTTATTTCGGGTAAATTGCTACCCTTGTCCGTCTGTCTGTCACACTTTCTTATTCTTCAAAATTCTCTTTTATTTTTAGCAAAATGATGTTTTCTCTACAAAATCCTATTTCTAAGAATATTTTAGGCAGTAGTCTAATAATCTTTTGGAAGGTGATTGGTGATATCATTTGGTCTTCAATCGGGGGGGGCACGTAGGGTTTGAAAAAGATATTTCTACAAAACTTCGGTTCCCAAAACTCTTCTTACATTTTAGACAGTAGTCAAATCATCTTTTTATGGATGATTACTGATGTCCTGTAGATGTGCAATAAGGCATCCGGATTTTCATTTTCACCCTAGGAGTCAAACGACGTTTTTTCTTCAACAAAACCTGGTTCGAGAACCTCTCTAACAATTTGTGCAGTAGCCAAATCAATTTTTGGAAGATGATCACTGGTGTCCTGTAGATGTACGTAATGGTTTCGGAATTCTCGTTTTCACCCTTGGGGTCAAATTGGAGTTGAAAATATACGCTTTTTACTACGAAGAAACCCTGGTTCGCAGAACTCCTCTTACATTTTATTTAGTAGCCATCTTTTGGATGGTGATTATTTTGTATTCTGAGATGTGCAATAAGGTTTCGGAAATTTGATTTTCACTCTGGAGGCCATATGGGGGTAAAAAAACGATAATTTTTCATTTTATAAAAACTTGGCCCTGGGAACAGACTTAGACTTAAGTCAAAATTTCAGTAGGCCATAAAATATTTATTACTTGTGAATCAAAACTTAATTTGCATGCAACAGCAGTTTATTGATGCAAAGTGAAGAAGCATTTTCATTTTGGACTCCTACATTTCTAAATCATTTCAGCGCAATATACATTTTTGACTTAACCTTAAAATGTTTCATGCGCCTAGGTTCCCAGAACTCCTCATACATTTCACGCAGTAGCCATCTTATGTTTTGGAAGGTGATTGCTGGTGTCCTGAAAATGTCCAATAAAGTTTTTTTTTTTTTTAAAGAATTTTCATTTTCACCCTGGGAGCGAAATGGGGGTCAATAATTTTTTGTTTTACAAAAAACCTGGTTCTCAGAACATTTTACGCAGTAGACAAATCATCTTTTGGAAGATAATTGCTCGTTTCCTGTAAATGTGCAATAAGGTTTAAGAATTTTTATTTTCATCTTTGGCGCCGAATGGGGTCAAAAGCAACTGTTCACTTTACAAAAACCTGGTTCCTAGAACTGCTCATATAATTCTGCAGTAACCATTTCTTCTTTTGCAAAATAACTGGATGTGTCCTGTAGAAGTACAATGTTTCAGAATTTTCATTTTCACCAAGGGGTCGAAAAATGACATTTTCAAGTTCCAAGTTGGGTTAATTTGTCTTTTTCCCCTTTGCTTTATTTACTTTAAAACATTTTTCCTGTAACTTCTTTTACAATCAGAATTTACTTGATTATTAATTTTAATCTTTATTAAAATCAAACTGGAGATGAATTTATTATTTGAAACAAAAGAGCCCCATGTTCATATGCTCAACTAAGGTGTATTTTATGCTCAATTTAATACATGATTGAATATATTCAAATTTTATGTAAATTTTAGAATAAAGTTTGTGGCTTCTTCGCTAGCCAAGTTCAGGTACAAGGGAGCTAGTGCACATTTAGAGGCAAACACTTAAATGCGGGTATTACTGTCTTGTGGCAGCATCTAGTTCAATTTGTTTTTAAAGTACCACGAAAAAGCTTGCATTATTCTTTTTTTTTCCCTAAGAATGCATCTTTTTTCAGGGCAAGGCGATTTTGTGACAATATCTGGCTTTTTTTGGTCTGGTTTGAAGTATATTTCATTTCAAGAAATACATGTGTACATATTTTCTTTCGTTTGCTTCATGCTTTGCAGAAAACATTCTATGTTCAAATCAATTTCACGTAATTAAAAAAAAAAGCATTATTTTATTCCTTATTATGCATTGGCTTGCTTGGTATACGGTATACTAGTAATTGTTAGAAAAAGAAAATAAGATTTTAGATATATGCCAACAATGCACGTTCATTAGCATTATGCTGTTTTGGTGTATTTTTCCTCTTTTCATTGATTTTTATTTCTCATTGAATTATTTAGAATGGAATCGGACTACATCTTCTATCGGACGCTTTATATTTGTATGCTAAGGCTTTGGACAAGGCTTTGGCAGATGGATATTCTTCGAAAAACGTGTCGATTATAGTACAAAATATGCAAAACGTGACCTTAACAAGTATGTTGGTTTTTTAATAGATTAAAATTGTAAGATTCAATGGATATTATTTAGTATTTAGTTGCAGTTGCTAAAACATTTACTACTTTAAAATTATTTATTTGATACAACTGAAATATATTTTTCATCTCGATTTCTTATTCTTTGTGGAATTAATAAGAATAAATATTTTCATTAAAATGCATGAAATAATGTGATATGTAAATCAACGTTCACTGATATTTTAATCTTTGTCTCAATCTAAAGCTCAAGAAAGACAGGGGTAAAATAATTTCCTTTCTAAATTCTAGCACCATATGGAAGTTTTACAACCGATGAGAATGGTACGAGAAAAACGACTTTTTCACTATTCAGCATCTTCCATGAAGACTTCACTGAAATTGCGTCATTTGATAGGTAATAATAAGATAAGATTTATTAAGATAAGATAAGATTTATTGATCCCAATTTGGGGCCCCTCAGGGCATACAAGTAAAGAATTATATACACAAGAAGAAATTCAAAATTGATAGTAACAACATGTCGATATTAAGAGATAAGAAAAGAAACTAACTAAAGAAGATGATGATGATTATAGCAGATGGGGATTACCAATAATAAATGCTTTAATATATATATATATATATATATATATATATATATATATATATATATATATATATATATATATATATATATATATATATATATATATATATATATATATATATATATATATATATATAAAATTAGCAAACGTACAAAGATTTGTAACATGTATATTTGTCCTAGAGTATTAATAATTTAATATTATTACTCTTTTGCATTTATTTGGTTCTTTTTAACATTATATAATTCACTATTTCTTATTTTAAAAATATTGATTAGAAAATTACCCAACTTGATAAGCAATATATCATTCTCATTAGACATAATCCACAAAATTTTTTCTTTATTCGTTAAACAATAAAATTTTTTATTATTTTTAGCAATATTCTCAAAAAATTCATGTCCATCATGTTTATATAATGGACATTCAATCAGTGAGTGAATCTCATCTTCCACACAATTCATGTCGCACATTCTACAAATCCTTTCATTTCTTGCAAGGGTGGTTTGCTGTCCTTCTGTGTTTACATTTTTTTCATATCTTCCACTTTCAATTCTGAGATATGTGCACTTATTCTAAATTTACATATAATTTTTCTTTGTTCAAAATTTTTTAAAAATAAATACTTTTCAATTTCAAAACTTCTTTTTACAAAGAAATATGTTGTAAGTTTATCCGACAGACAGCCCTCTTCTCTTTTTATAAACCAGTATTGAAGGAAATCCTTTCTAATAATTTTTTTCAGTTGTTTCTTTAAAGTTATTAGTTTCATTGATTTACATTTAGACCAAAGTATGCCCATTTTCTTACGTAGATGTGTTACATTTGAAAACCAACTATTTATATTACAACTGTCCAAGATCATACTTTCTTTGTATGCATTGTATAACAAAGAATTCTCTTTCATGTTCTCAAGTCTATGCCAGTAAGAGATAATTGCTATAATAATAGAATAAAAAATTGGTTGTCTACCCAGCTCTGATAGAACTGCAATATTGGTACTTTTTTTCCCTGATCCAATGATAAATTTACAAAATTTCATATGAAGATTTTCAATCTCCCAATCTTTAAATGTTTCATATAGGCATTTATCTTTTCTTTGCATTGATGTTGACAATACACCCCATATTTCTGACCCATAGGTAGGTATAGGTTTGATCATATGATCAAATAGATGAAGTAAAGTTTTAATGGGTGGATCTGTTGATTTTATATCAATAATAATATGTCTATCTTTTTTGTGTATACCGAGGTAATCCCCCCCTTTAAAAAAAAAATATATATATATAGATATTTAGACCAATTTTTTATGTATATCTAGATAGCATTGACACTGCTAGCTCTCCTGTACTGAAATTGCTTTTACCCTTCTTAACGTTGGTAGACTATTCACAATTTTTTTTCTCAGGAAGACTCAGGGAGCCATGCACAACATTCAAAACTGTGGAAACAAACGATAAGCCATTTTAATTTAAAATGTATATTGAAAAGACAACAGGAGATTGGTGAACGTGTAGAATACCTATAGCTTCAGATATATAAAAATGATGTTCAATTTGTGAATTTATTATTTAGAGTGTATTTCTCATTATTGAAATTTATGAAATTATGATAAACAAAACTTTTCTGAGGAAAATTTTCTCGGCCAAAATTATTCTGTTAATAAAAAAAATAATAATCTGGTACTCGTGTGATTCGGATCCTAGCAGTAAGAATTCTAAGTATCATTTTCCTCTGAGACTAGCATGCTAACCAGTACGCTAAACAATTCCTGAAAAATATTGGCATTTAAATCATTCTTGTGATATGACCTTTGACTAAATGGACTTCAAGTTTTTCTCGGAAAAAATGCATATGTTGTGTCATAAAAGTGTATTTTTAAGGTATAGTGGGTCTTTGCTCCACGTTTTTGTTAACCAAAACTTTACGCAAACTTTAATGATAAAAGAAAAAAAAGGAGCGAAGACCAACTCATATCAAAAAATTGTGTTATAGTATGAGAAAATGATCGATCCTTTTTGCCCTAGCTCTTTTGTGTGTGCATGCTATTTATAGGCAAATAAATTCAATCTTTGGGAGATTTTTGCAGATTGTAGAGATTTTACATAAAGTATACTTTAATGTTAGATGAAATAACAAAGAAAATTTTGTTGTAATTGAGATTTAAGTTTTCACATTCATTTTTGTCGCACTGTAGGCATTGAGCTCGTCTTGTTCGCCCATCTTCTTTCAAAGAACAAAGTGTTTGCTTTTAATGTTACATAGTTTACACAGCAACAATAGATAAGTTTGTCAATGGCCATTAATTGGTTATTTTTTTATTTTAAATGTATGCTTTTATCAAACACGATAAACGTATTGCATAGACTTATGATATTCCTTCAGAAAATTAATAACAGAATTTTAATAGCACAACAACAAGATTTTTTACGAATGGAACCATTCACTGGCCCGGGGGTACTACAATTCAGCCTCTGGGGAGACCTAATTGTGGGTGGAACGGCGAATTCTGTGTAAAAGTCCAGTCTAACACATGTAAGATCTCTGTCTTTCCCTTTCTCTCTCTCAGTTTGTATTTTCTGATACCAACTTTAACTCCAATGAAATTTTTATTTTTTTTAATTAATTCTCGGTTTCTATCACCTCCTGTTACAGATCTTATTGCCTCCGTATCTGCCATGGCTGCCCTGGTCGTGCTGCTCTTTGTAACATTTGTTGTTATATTCTTCCATATGCGCAAGTAATTATCATTTTTTCACAATTACATGTATGAAGAATTTTTAAGTAAATTCTAAAGGTTTAAGTCATTAATTGTCCGTTTTGCAACATACACTTTCATTACCATAACATTTGTAAATTTTCGTGAATTTCTTATTACACTTTGAGGTTTCCTCAAAGGAGTTTCGATACCTCAGGTACCTTTTGTTAAAATCTCCGTCTTAATATGTTGTAGAAAGAGATTACTGAAAGAGGAAATGGAAAACATGCAATGGAAGATATCATTTTCTGATTTAGACACAAGCTCTGGCAAAGTATTCCATAGTGTGTGTAGCAAGGTAAACAACACTTTATTTCCACCATACCATATCCAGGTTTATAGTGTTGCACATATTCTGATAATGCTCATTGTTAAGTAAAATGCTCATGACTTTTATTTCAGTCTTCTTTTCTGAACGATACAAGAAGCAGATCCCGATCAATAAGCGGCAAAACGGAAATGTCTGCCACCCTCCAGATATTTACTAAAACCGCGAACTACCAAGGCTCCATGGTAGCCATTAAATTCGTCAACAAAGCTTTTGTGGCCATTACAACGTCTGTAATCCAAGAAATTAATCAGGTATCTTCAAAAAATTAATTTGAAATCTGATTTCTTTAGGTTGTTTCATAATCGTAGATTCTTAGCGAGTTTTCAGTTACAAAGAAGTCCTCATTAGATAAGATAAAGATCTGACATCAAGAATTAATCTCAAAGACGAAAGTACACAACCTTGAGATTTTCTAGAGCTTGATGTTCATATTTGGCGAAAGTATTAATTTATTAGAATTTGAAAGATTTATTTTTTGCATTATTTTTGACAATTTCAGATCCGAGGGTTAAAACACAACAATGTTTTTACTTTGATTGGAGCTTGCGTGGATCCTATGAATATATATATTGTTAGTACTTACTATAACAAGGGAAGCTTACTAGATGTTCTGTCTAATACCAACATAAAGCTGGATTGGATTTTTAAACTTTCCTTTGCTTCGGACATTGCAAAGGTACTTCCTTACTTTACGAATTCTTTTTTTGATTCCAAATAGAGATGAAAAAGCTTTAAAAAATACAGTCAAGTTTATAATATACAAGTCTAACAGTCTAAAGCAAATATATCGAAATTTGTTCACTTTCTAAGCGAAGAAAATATAAAAAGCGTTTTAGTTTAGCTAATCTAAGGGTCATTTTGTGACGATTAAGGGAACTTAACTTATACATAGACTTGCTTATATACCCTATTCATTACCCCATATAACTTAGGCGCATGTCCATTGTACATATGTGCCAAAAAGGACTCGTATGAGGGGATTTTGTCCAAAACTGTCGACGTCGATTTTTACATGTATTTGTTTGTTACAATGTACATGGTATAAAGAACACAAATTTCTTTTTGGAAATGAAAAATTTATCATTTAATTTTAGTGTCAAATAAGAATAAATGGTTTGTTATGCCACTGCATATATTGTTATGAAATATTGACGATTGTGATCATAAAATATCGTATCTTTCAACACTTGTGATTTACAGGGTATGGCGTACATTCATGATTCAGTACTGGAGTCCCATGGTAAACTTCGGTCTAGTAATGTCTATGTTGACTCTCGATGGATGTGTAAAGTGGGAGATTTACCGATGCCAAATTTCTGTGATGGCGCGAAAACCTGTGATAATGCAAAAAATTCAGAAAATTTTAGTAAGGATTATAGTTTATACAACTTTTCCCTAATTATTTCAATTATTTCCCTAATTATTATATTATTTACTTGAAAGTCTTAAGAAGATGGGTGAACAAGGCGTGCAGAATGCCTATAGCTTCAGATATTGATAAAATCATATTCAATTTGTGAATTAAGTATTTAAAATAAAGTTCTCATTATTGAAATTTATGAAATTATGATTAACAAAACTTTCCTGAGAAAAAAGATCTCGGAAAAAATTATTCTTTTATTAAAAAAAATAAAATGGTATTCGTGGGATTCGAACCCCTATCAATAAAAATCCGGAGTATCGTATTGTTCTGAGACTAACACGCTAACCACTACGCCACGCAGCTCCTGACGAATAGTGGCATTTAAATCATGTTTGTGATATGACCCTTGACTTAATGGACTTCAAGTATTTCTCGGAAAGATGCGAATGCTTTGTCATAAAAGTGTACTTTTAAGGTATAGTGGGTCTTTTCTCCATGTTTTTGTAAACCAAAAAATGTATATTTTTATGCAAACTTTTAGGATCAACTTTCAAAAAAATGGAGCGAAGACCCACTCATATCGAAAAATTTTGTTAAAGTGTGAGAAAATGATCCTTTTTGTCCTCTTCATTGTGTGTATGGTATTTCGTAGGCAAATAATTTCAGTCTTTGTGAGATTTTTGTAAATTGTAGAGATTTAGCATAAAATATACTTTAATGCTAGATGAAATATCAAAGAAAATTTTTATATAATTGAGATTTTATTTTTCACTTCATGTTTGTCGCACTATAAGCACTTCGCCCGCCTTGTTCACCCATCTTCTTTATTCTGCTAATATATAAATATGGTCAGATAAATATGAACACATTCTAATTTTTATATTAATATTTGGTTCTTCAGAATTACTTTGGGTTGCCCCAGAGCTACTCCGTCAGGTGTCCATACCACCTAAAGGAACGCAAAAAGGGGATGTCTTTGCGTTTGCTATTATTCTACAAGAAATTATCTTGCGTTGCATACCTTACGAAAACGAGACACTAGAGCCATACGGTAGGTTTTGTCTAATCTGGCAAGTAAAATAAAGCTCTTCTGTAGAAGATACAATCAAAGCAACCTTTACTTATCCAATATCATTGTTTGAAAGATATGAAAATATATGAATAGTACATTATAAATAGTAGAATTATTTTATAATAGAGATTGTACAGAGGGTGCGGATGATAGAATCGCCCCCTTTTAGACCTAAAGTTCCAGTCAATGCAGCTGATCGTAAAATCGTGGAATTAATGAGGATGTGTTGGGAGGAAATTCCAATGTTTCGCCCAAATTTTACAACAATTTTATCTGTCTTAAAACAGACAAACAACGGAAGGTTAGTTCTATTTCAAATCTTTTATATAAACTTAACGCTAAATTTTATTCGAATTTAAAAAAAAAAATAGACGAATCTTTTCCCTTTTTTATTTTAAGAAAAACCAATTTAGTAGACCAGATGATGCATATGATGGAGAAGTATGCCGATCATTTAGAAGAGTTGGTGGGAGAGCGCACGCGCCAGTTAGAGGAAGAACAAAAAAAGACAGATGAACTCCTACATCGCATGCTTCCATCGTAGGAATATGTTTATTTTATTCCATTTATTTTTCAATACATTAAATTAATTTTCTGTCAGATTAAGTGTCAACTAATCCTCAAACATAGAAACAATAATTTCTTTACTGAGTAAAAGGTGCACTGTATAGATCATCATTTATATTTTCCAAGAAATTGTACAAATTGTACAAATTGGTTACAGAAGTATAGCTCAAGATTTAAAATACGGAAAACCAATCCATCCAGAGAGTGTTGAGTGTGTCACCATCTTCTTTAGTGATATAGTGCAGTTTACAAAACTGGCCTCAGAGAGCACTGCGATAGAGGTACTAGTCTAGTATTTACATTAAAAGGATATATGTTTTGAAATTTTGTCATAAAAATCGGTATAGTTGCAATATTCTAAGACGATATGTTTCGTAATTTCTATTTTTATGTTAAACAGTTAGTCTTTACCTTTCTTTTTAGATTGTGAATTTCTTAAACGACTTGTACACCTGTTTTGACACCATTATTGAAAATTTTGATGTATACAAGGTATGATTTTACAAATCCATTCAAGCGACCCTTTGTGAAATGAGGTAAATTAAAAATATTGTTGATTGAAATACATATATTTATTTTCAATTCAGGTAGAAACAATTGGTGACGCGTACATGGTGGTAAGCGGACTTCCTGTTAAGAACGGCTTACGTCATGCCAGTGAGATAGCCACTATGGCCTTGGACCTTCTGAGTTGTGTGACGACGTTCGAGATACGCCATCGCCCAGGAAGACAGCTTCAACTTAGAATAGGGATACACAGTGGTAAGGATATAGGGATACACAGTGGTAAGGATATAGAAACACATTAACATGGCAAGGATTAGAGACCTAGGGGATAGGATAGGAAAGTCCGAAATATCTGACGTTTAAGGGGCTGTTTTAACGATTTTTATATTTGACATGCCAGAAAAACGGCACGTCAAATGACAAAATCCTTAAGAACGCCTGGAAAACGTCAGATATTTCGGACTAAGGATAGGGATGAATAGCAGTAATTAATATAGGGATACACAACGGTAAGAATATTGAGACACATTGAAATGGTAGGATAAGATCGACTTATAGGAGATAGGCACAGGAACTTGTTTCGGTATCTTAATTTTTTTTAACACATAGTATAATAATAATATTATACTATGGGTTAAAAAAATTATTACACATTGATATGATGCATTTATAAGATATAAAAGTGCAGTACAATCTTCACAATTGTACCAATAAAAGTGTAGTAGCGTCAGTATCACAGGCACTTGATTCGGTAAAAAAAATTTTTAACCCATTGTATTATATTATTTACCGAAATAAGTGCTGTGGTCAGTATGTATAGTAAAGCACTTCTCTTTATTAAATACGTTGACTACAACACGTGAGCTTAAATATATATTACATCGATCTATCTTTTTCAGGTCCGGTGTGTGCGGGAGTTGTGGGTCTTAAGATGCCGAGATATTGTTTGTTTGGGGACACAGTCAACCACGCGGCCAGGATGGAGTCCTCTGGATTAGGTGAGATATTTAACACTATACATACATTCATAAATTCAGACATACCATTTCTCAAGGATTCAAGATTATAATTTTATAGCATATACCTACACTTAACCGTATGCTATGACAATCCTTAACTTATAATAAAAGTGTATATAAAAAAAATGTAGTCTTTGAAGTTATTTGATTTTCAGCTCTTCGCATCCATGTAAGTCAACCCTGTCGGGATATCTTGGAGAAACTTGGAGGATTTCATCTAGCTTATCGTGGTGAAATTACAATGAAGGTCTCTCATGTTTCCGCAAACTTTTCTGTAAAGGAAAAAATTAGATCAGAAGAGTTTAGTCCAACATTCTGATCAGCGACTTCGAAGTAAAATTTATATTTCTTTTTTATTTTATTTTAGGGCATAGGAACAGTGCCAACTTATTTCCTGACAGGAAAGGACGGTTTTACAAAGCAACTACCTTCTCTAGATTTAGCGGCCTCCTTAGAAGACCATGAATTCAAATAACCAATAAAGTTATGCCAATTTTAAAATGGAATTGGGAGACAACGAATATGTCAATGCCAAAATTTAATACAGACAAAAATTATAAGTTTAGTGCAAAAACGTTCAACATTCTGAAACCTTGCTTTGTTTACCCATATTGACTTGCTTGTGTTTTTTTACGAGATCGAGTCAATTGGAACTAAGTGCTTTTTCACAACATTTTCAGGAACTCCAAATATCACAATGTTACTTAAGTTACCATAGACCGGTATCTATGTTGAGTGAATTGAAGAAAAAACATTTTGATAATTAATATTGCTTAAAAAGCTTATTTGTATGTTATTTAAAACAACATTTATGAAATAAATTCTCAATGTTTTGTTTTAATTACAGTTTTATATGCATTTTGAAATCAGTAAATCTAGTTTCTTGATTCGAAATTTCAATATTTGTAAAAGTTTAGTTTATAACACTGATTTTTGATTTATAATATAACTTAGAAAACACTTTCCGACTAAGGTAACAAATGAAATCACATGTAGCACGATTCTATCAATACACCTTACATGGTGAATTCTGTTGCTCTAAATTGAATTTCCGGATTCAAACCAATTCTGTGACTAACGTTTCACATCAAAAAAGTTTTGAAAACAGTATACGGTAGTATTACAAGCGTTTGAATTAACGGAGAATACAAATAAGTAACTGAATCGAAGAACCAAGGTTTTCAAATACCTGTATAGTTCCTTTGTCTACAACTTTTGGAGTCGATAACATGGAGATTTGGCATTTGGAGAGATAGTAGCTTACGAAATGTTGTCTTTTTTTGATTTATGGACATTTTAACGCGGTCACGTGGATTACTGGTAGAGGGAAATTCACATACACTGGAATGGAAAAAGCTTTTGAGCTCCTAGGGGTACTGCTGATCTAAGGCTGAGTTTTGAACCTATTCAATGTTATTCAAACAAGATCAAAGGGAATGGAAGCATAAAGTTTAATTCTGTTAATGTATACAAATAAAACTTGCTTCAAGCTGACAACATTCAAGGTTTGGAAGATTATAAGCGCAGAATATACAAGTGGTAATCCAACTTATAGCCAGAGCTCCCTTTCTAAGGAGGAAATTCTTCAAAATCATATGTCAGTTTTGAATGTTTTTAATATTCCCAACAACCAACATGAATTTGAATTACCATATCTATATTGGATTCCGAAATTTCATAAAAATCCTAAAAAAGATACATATCGGGTTCCAGTAATTAAATGTTCTACCAAGCCTCTTTCTTTACTCCTCACTAAGATATTAACAGTAGTGAAGGAGAAACTTCAGGAGTACTGTGCAACAACTTATTCGAGAAATAGTGTAAATCAGATGCTATGAGAGTTGGGTCCCGGTGTTTTGCGCAAAATAAAATTCCAAGGTTTATAAACTTTATGTTTTATAGGTATTAAACAATGTCTTAAGAGCAGGTTTTGGTATATTATATTACATGAAAGTATTAAATAATGCCGAGCGACACTAGCTTTTGAGACGGGGGTCTAACAGTTTTGTCACATTTCTATTGTTATTCATATGCATACCAGTTTTCAACGACATTGTTTACATCGAGCCGCAAATGTCCATTGTTCTCATTTGCACAGAATGTGTATTTTAATTTAAACTTCAACATATCCAAAGGACAATGTTGGACAAATTGCGGCTCATATCTAATTTTTTGAAAAAGTCTCCAAACTACGGTCGAATTAACCACTAAATTAACAGTTCACCGAGTGTCAATGATTGATATTATAATCACTTTACTCACGTGACATTCCACTGTTCGATACGCTAAGGCTTTCATTGAACATTTCATTGTGTTTCTATTGTGACAGTATCTATCGTACTATGGAAGATTTTTGAGCAAATTTTAATAGGGTTTGAAGATTATATGTCTCTTATTTTACTTTGTATTTTTTCATTAGGGGTGTTTTGAAAGAATTCTGGTATTGACAGTGTGATTAGTAAGTACATGTACAGGCTCATGTCGCCTCTGTATAATGGTCTGCAGGGCGAAACATCTTCCCCATCCCTAAACACTAGAATCACTTATTATTTGTGCACCATGAAACTACACAATCTCTCTCTTCTCCATTTAAATTCGCAGTGCGAAAAAAAAAATCATATGTGCTAATGTTTACATTCCATATCCATGCGATTTAAATGTCTCCGCCTATTTGCGGATACCTTAAATACGAAAGTGGTCCCGTTCAAATTTCCGGAATTTAAGGCTTCTACATGTTCTTTTCAATGACATTGTCTGTAATTATAGAAATATGTATGACAAAAAATTCAAGGAATAAATATCTAAAGAATATACTTGCACAATAATCATAGATTAATTAAGCGATATATTGTAAATGTAAAGCTTAAAATGGGTAGCCGAAAAGGTTCCAAATGACGTACTAAAGTGCACTCTTTCTTTACTTACCTTGTAATTGGTTATTTACAAAATTATTTTGTTAAAAAACATTCTGATTGTACACACAAGTACTCTGAAGTTGATATTTAAAAGATGACTGAGTTTCTGATTGACAATATTTATGTGGTTTTTGGAGACCAGGTCTTGCAATATTCTATTGGAATTCCCATGGGTACCAATCGCGCCCCGTTATTAGCAGACTTATATTTGTATTCATATGAAGCAGAATTTGTTCAAAACATGAAAAGAAAACACTTGTTGTGGCCTTCAACTCGACATTTAGATATGTCGACGACGGATTGTCAATTAACAATGTTTATTTCCATTCTTATGTCGATATGATATATCCAGGTAAGCTTGAAAAAAAAGATACCAAAGAGTCTGACACATCTGTTTCATATTTGGATATTTTACCAGAAAATGGTAATGGTAATCTAACAACCAAGCTTTATGATAAACGTGTTGACTTTAACTTTTCAATCGTCAACTTCCCTTACTTATGCAGCAATATACCTTCATCACCTGCATACGGGGTTTATATCTCTCAGTTGATGCGATACGCAAGAGCATGCTCTAAGTATGAACAATTTCTAAAACGAGGTAAGTTATTGACAAACAAGTTGATGAAACAAGAATATCAGCAGTCTTGTTTAAAGTCGTCATTTCGTAAGTTTTATGGTCGATACAATGACCTTGTCAGCAAATACAATTTATCATTAAGTCAAATGCTGACTGACGTTTTTCATACTAATTGTTAGGCCATTATTTACACACTGAATTGTCGACGGATTTTTCCGTTATTTCCCGATCATGACAAGGAGCACACGGCGGGTTTGACCGGTCGGCAGGGGATGCTCACTCCTCCATGGCACCTGACCCACCTCTGATGTTTTAGAGGTCCGTGTTTGCTCTGCTCCAAAATTTGTATTGTTTAATGGTCTTTTGAGCTTGAATTCTGTTCGTTATCTCCATACGTTTCATATACTGCTTGGTTCATAATTTGATAGGATCTCATTTGCTCAAAAAAGTTTATATCAGGAGAAAAAGGATAAAAAGTTATATTATATATATATATATATATATATATATATATATATATATATATATATATATATATATATATATATATATATATATATATATATATATATATATATATATATATATATATATATAATATTTATACCCAACGAGTAAAATTTATTTTATTAATAGATTTTGTTTCCAAAAATAAATAAATAAATTGATGATCAATCAATAAATCAATCAATCAAATAAATAAATTTAATAGATAAATAAATAAAAGATTAACATTGGATTATCAACAAAATCTTTCTATATGATAATAATCACTACATGTTTTATATTAACGTTCATGATGAAGTCAGAAAACGACGATGTAGAGTAATGACAGAGATTTCATGGAAAATGAATTCATGTCTACGAAACATTTCTAAACTACAGTACGCGCAATGATTGTAAGGCCGCTGATTTAATAGATCTCTTAATTAATGCCTGAAGTTTTAATATTTTAGTAGCAGTATTTTGATCATTTCCTTCCTGTCGAATGGTGTTTCTCCATCATTTTTATCTGTGAAAAAAATCCAAATGGAAGTCACAGCATGGGGAAATTGTTTAGATCATTTTGGCTTTAGTCTATCGATCCGAGAGTTGCTGAATTAAATTGATGAATCAAGTAAATTCAAAGATCTGTGGTCCTCCGCTTTTGGTGTCTTGGTGGCTATGATGCAATTATTTATGGCATCTTGTAACTTTCTTGTTTGTCTGACCTGTCTTGTCAGTCTATCATATAAAAAAGCTATAAATTATTGAATTAATAAAAATAATGCAAAGATTAAAAATTCTCAAAACTGCATCAAACTTCAAGATCAAGAGGTCAAATATCATAATACAATCCGAAAGGTCTTATCACAAGCAATGAAAACATGTGAAAAAATATGAAAGCCCTGTCTCTTCTGGAGTAAAAGTTATGGTCAAAGTTATTTTTTTATAAGTAGGCTAAACTTCTAGGTCAAGGTAATAAAGTGATGTGATATACCTTAATGAAAGGTGTTGTCGTAAGTAATGTACATGTAAAACATGAAAACCCTATCTTCTCTCATTCAAAAGTTATTACCAATGTAAAAAAAAAAATGGAAAAAGACTGGGCTGACTTTAAAATAATGTTTGCTTGCCCTCTCCCGACCCAGGATGAAAAAAATTTGGGTAGGTAGGTAGGTGGGGAATTTTTTTTCTGGAAAATTTCAACGTCAATCCTGAATTTTCAAAATATATTTTCCGGAATGCATTAAAAAATTGATTTCTGGAGGTTAAAAAAGTTTTGAGTAGGGCCTTTTTCAGCCAGTCGGTCAGGAGAGGGCACCAAACATTTTTTTTAAAGAAGGTCCTGTAGGTTAAACTTTAAGGTCAAGGTCAAGAGATCCTTTGGAAAGGTCTTGAAACAGGTCATGCATGTGTCAAATATAAATGCCCTATCCTCTCATTCAAAAGTTATCAGCATTGTTAATTTTCTTTTTCTTTTTTTTTGAAAATTAGGTCGAACTTCAAGGTGAAGGTCATATGTAGTTAAAAAAAATCAAAGTACAGTTAGAAATCTTCTCACAGGAATGCACATGTCAAAAATATGAATGCCCTTTCTTTTCTCCTTCAAAAGTCGGCAACATTGATAAAACTTTTGAACATCAGGACAAACTTCAAGGTGAAAGGTTCAAATATAATTGCACATTCGGAAACTTTTGTCGCAGGTAATGCACTTGTCAAAGATGAACGCCCTATCTTCTCTCATTTAAAAGTTATATAAGCAATATTATAATTATTATTATTATTTTTTTTTTTTTTTTGAGAAGTAGGTAAACTTTAAAGTCAAGGTCAAAACAGTCTTTAATAAATTTCACATCAATTTTTAAGACTTATTTTAAAATATCACTGCAGGTTTAGATATACTTGTACATGTAACATGTATCTTTCATTGTCCAGATTAATATATATATATATATATATATATATATATATATATATATATATATATATATATATATATATATATATATATATATATATATATATATATATATATATATATATATATATATATATATTTTTTTTTTTTTTTTTTTTTTTTTTTTTTTTGATTATATTACAAATATAAATATTTCTGAGGTTGGTGTTTCTTAGCTTAGAATTAGAATATTTAGAATAAAATTTACATTGAAAAGGAAATGAATTTCATCATCAATCACACCAGTATATTGTAAGTATTTATCTTTCGTTTCTTGATGTAGAATCATATCTATACGTACCACTTTGTTTTGCAAGTTTATATCAAGAGTTCTCTCAAAAAAAATCGATATCAGAATAAAGTTTGACTGCATTCTCTATCTAGATTTGTCTACCGCTACGCTACCATGTGGGAGCGTAGCGGGAACGGCAACTCTGGATAGAGAATGGTTTGACTGGATTCCGTCGACTTTATTGGCGAACGACATAATAAATTGACCAAAACCGGAAGTGAAGGAATGGCGCGGGGAAATTGAAAACTGATTCAGGTTGTCGCTGTATATTTTGAATTTTGATCGGAGATCTGGGTGATGGCGAGTCTTACAAAAACAATAGAAGCTCTGTCGGCATTTTCCCTGCAAAGTTTAGGAGAAGGTATTACAATTGTGTTTTTGTCTGATGTGGTTGAGGAATGGTTAAAAGTCTTAATATCACGGACACCAGAATTATTTTCTTGTTTCATAGAGAATCCATCAACTTTCCATTAATCATGTTAGTAGTGAAATGGTCAGTGGTGTATGAAATAAGCAGTTATGTCTTGGTGTAGTAGGTATGCATTATGTTTATGAAAGCAAAATCTAATAAATTAAAACTAGAATTTTTGATCCGCTACCTTCTCAATATAACTGCATCCCATACATTAGCTGTACATAGCAACCTTTCCACACAGCGTCGATTGAGTATTTGGGCTCTCTCACCAACTCAATACTCTGGTCACAAGTATAAAGTTAAGTTGATAGACCATGACCAGCGAAAAAAATTATTTCTAGCCCTGTGTTTATGTATACATATGATTTGAAATTTGAAGTATAAAATATACTTATTGGTCTTTCTAAGGATTACAGATAAAGAATATTACCTAGACATTTCCATTGGATCAGTACATCAAGTACATGTATTAATAAATCAGCACATTAGGTACTATCTAACAAGCTATTTCCATCAATAAAGGGAGTGAACTTGGTGAAGTTGAGTGACATTTGTGCTTCTTCTTTGTTTTACAGAGTGGGTAAAATCATGCTGGGACAATGACTTTGCAGAATTTCCTGGATTGGAACCTTTAGTGGAGTCTGATATCTTGGAGAATGAATACCATGTACAAAACCTGTATCCCCTTTTGTCTGTCATGGATGATTGGATTGACAATAAAGAAGGACAAGAAGGGGAAGGTAAAAGCTTGTTTATACAACATATCCACTGATTTTCTTTGAAATATTGTAGACGCATATGTAAACAGAATAACATGGTCATAGTAATCATACTTTTATTAAAAAAAATGTGCTTACAGTGAAGTGATTTTCACTCCTTGTAGTTTTAAATTGTTTAATGAACTTATCAGCTAAAAGGAATAACCTTTGTAATATTTCAAAATTTTTTGTCCCTGATACTTTGCTGTATTTAATAAATGTGTGACATTCATAAAGTACAAAGATGTACAAGCAACAAATAATAACCATCTTGCAGGGTTCGACATTCATGCTCGTCACCTCGTCATTTCCATCCCAGAATGATTTTGGACGACCTGATTTTCAGTCTGGCTCGCCCAAATGACGACCTGGGACGAGTTGGGAATATTCAATAATGTTGTTTAATCTTTATAAGGCCTTGAAAACATTGTTTCCTGAAACCCGACCGACCCATTTAAATAGCAGCTGCGTGGATTTTTCTTTCTGCCAAATCTGTGTTTGATCAATCAGCTGATGTAATTTTTACCAAAAGTGTTAAATTAAGTTTTATTTGAGATATAAAATATGTCAACCTATCAACAATCACCATAAAGAATAATGATCATTATTGTAACATCTAGCATTTCCTCCACAACTTTCTGATGATCGTTTTCTGCTGCTAGACAGCCATGTTGGGTGTCCACTGTAAACTTCACACCTGGATAATTCAGTCCAGGGATGTTTGACCCCATTTATTTAGGCCTTTATGGTATGTGAAAATGAATGGAATGTTTTAAACTAGAAAATTTATTTTGTGTCAATATGTGAGGTGAGATTGTACATTAGCACAAAAAAAAATCCCCAACCTACCAACCCTTGATTTATTGGGAATATTACATGAAACAAACATAATTTTTTAAAGCCAAACTAGGATTCTGATTCTGCTTATTAATATTTATTGGCTGTTTTCTTTGTTTGATAAAATACTGGAAGACAGCTTTTGGCATTCCAAAAATGCCTGGTTTACATTTTGTAATACAAAAGCACAACTTCTGTTATCTTAACAAATTTTAAACAATTGCACATTTTTGTTTTATTTGATATTTTGTTTGGGCGACCTGAAATTCATTCGGGCAACCTGAAATCAGTACCAAGGTTGCCCAAATGGCGAGTCCAAATTTTAACGAGTGTCGAAACCTGATCTTGATACATTGAACTTCTCTTACACTGTTAATGATATTTACTTTAAGGTTTCTGGATGGTATTAGTGGAGAATGACTTTTCTCATAAAAACTTGATAGCACTCTTGGCATATTTAGTGGAAAATGGAACTAAGGTAAAGTATATTACTTTCAGCATTATGTTTAAGACCGCGGAACATTAACTGGCAAAATTGGAAATATGCATCTTACGTCATTTCCATCTGTTACAGTCAAAACATTTAATGATAGACAATGAAATGGGCGGGTACAATTCGACACGGATGTCCGAGAAAACATTGGATTGAAATTCTAGTTTGAAATTTATTTTCAATCCATCTCAGCTACGCTAGAACGCACGGTGTTACTGATTGACCTAGAAGACAAATAAGTTGAAATATATATAAATCAGAATTTCTATCCCATGTTTTTAAAGAAATATAAAGAGACAAATATTTGATTTCTGTTTGGTATGTGTATGTGGGGTCGGGGAGGGGGTGGGGGGTGAAGGAGGCTGAACGATCTTGGAAAGGAATAAGAAAGTTTTCTTCTAGTTTGGACATCCCCTCCCTGTTTTTGTTTGTCAAACATTTTTCAGAGAACAAAAAACTAAAAAATAAAATCTCTTGTCATCCTAGAAATAAATATATTCTTCATGTGAAGGCATGATCTGACTCGACAATTTTTGACAGCCCCCCCCCCCCCCTTCTAGAATCAAATGGCCGTCCCCTGAAAAAAATATTCTCTGTCTTCTATGACTTTGACGTGCCCTTAAAATTATAGGCTAAAAAACTCATATAAATATGAATTTCAGAAACATGTATTTGGGAATTGAATTTATTTGTCTTTTGGATCATAATTCACGCTTAAGGCTTGGAAACAGTTCAGGTGGATTGAAATTGAATTTCAATTTTTTTCAGTGAAGAAGAAAATAAATAATGTCTTTTGTCATCCTACAAATAATAAATAAATTCTTTTATGTGAGGCATAGCCATAAATAATCTGATTGGACAAAAATTGCAAGCTCCCCCCCCCCCCCCCTTCTAAAATCAAATGGCCGTCCCAACTTTTGTGTGTCCTCAAAATTGTTATACAATAATTTCAAACTATACGTATTTGGGAACTGAAATTGCGTATTTGTCGTTTCGATCATACAATTATAACTTTGCGAAAAATAGCTCAGGTGGATTGAAAATGAATTTCGAATTGCAATTTCAATCCAATGTTTTCGCAGACGTCTGTGTCAAATTGTACCCGCCCATTTCATTGTATATCCTCAAGTGTTTGACTGCGACATATGGAAATGACGTAAGCTGCATATTTCCAATTTTGCCAGTTAATGTTCCGCGGTCTTAAGATATTGATGATCTTAATTTATATGGATTGTGTATTAAATTGCAGTTTGCCATATGCTAAGAAGATTGGTTGAAATGACAAATATCATCCAAAGATGAAATATTGTTACATTTAATGTGAACTTGGTATTAATCTGTATTCCTGTTCAATTTGTAGAAAGGATCAAGTATTCAACAAAGAGAGGCTGCTTTACTGTCGTCATGCAATTATTTTAAGCTGCTGACAATTCCAGGTTTGAAATTTTAAACAATAAGATTTTCTCACCATTTAATTGTCTTACATGATACACAGTTACCAGTTTCTTTTTCCTCTGCAGTTTCTTTTTCCTCTTGTAATTTCCTTCTGATTTCCTATCTTTGTAGGAAGTACAGCATTCAAAATATTCCACCCAGTTTTGTTTGAGAAATGTGTGGATATTTTAAAACAATTGAAGACACAAGGTACTACACACGTATTTTAATTTTACTCTTAAACAATTCATTTTCATCAAAATTAGATACTGTAATTATTAACAAGTCATTGCAAGAGCAGAGTACCTTTCACACTTAGGGACGGGGAAAAGAAAGAAAAGTGTATCACCTGCTTGCAGTCAGAAGAGGAAGAAAAACAAAGCAAACAAAACACGGAGGTCTAGAGACTCTGCTGGCAGTATAGAGGTACATGCCAAACAGTGTTCAAATTACATGTATTTGGATTGTAACACACAAAACGTCAATTTTAGAACAATTTTTTTTTTAAAAAAAAATGTCGCAAAAACCTTTATGACAGTTTATACATGCTAAGTAAACTTGTATGCACTTTTACAGTAAGAACAAAAATTATATTTATTTTGCTTTTAAATAAACAGGAATTCCAGGATGACAGTGATGATGAAGAAAACCTGTCTCCTCAAGAAATGAATAAACTAAACAAATTGTATCTGTCAGTCCTACAGGTATGTATTCATCTGTCAGTCATACAGGTACATGTACACGTAAAGCATATATACATGTATTTAGACCCACACTAGTCACAGATTTTATTTTTAAAATATGTAGGTATATACATGTATGTTCTGTATTTGAAAACTTAACTGATGCTTTTCCTTGCTGTTAACTTAAAGAAAAATTCTCTGCCTTCTTTGGAAGTCTCTTGTTCTTTACTCATTTGCACTTCTTTTTCGTTTCTTAAACACTAATTCAACAGGGTTTTCAAAATTCTATTATCTACATTTAAAATCTTACAAACAGGTGCGTGTTATTGTATAGTATATGATAGTTGTTAATGCCTTGACAGGATTTGGTGAGTCTGCTGATGGATACCTCCCTTCGACAGTCAGAATCCTCTACCTACCACACGGTACAGGTGCTCTCTGCCTTGACTAGACAAGGGGCAGAAGTCTTTGATGGAAATTTTCAGAGTTTTGCCAGTAGGTTAGTGGATATTTTAATTGTGTGCTCATCAAATAATTCTTCTGTACATTATGTCAGACTAGTTGGAGTTGATAAAGAAATGACATCAAATGGATCAGTAAGGAGTAATGACTGTTTCATATTTGTTCAGCAAATGCATATTATTACTAGAGTACAGGTAAATATGTCTGCATTAGGCCATCTTTAAAAAATTGTTTGCCCTCTCCCGACCGACTGACTGAAAACGCCCCGTCTCAAAACTTTTCAAGCTCCAGGTAGTGTTGTACTGATAATCAGAAAACATTGAATGTCGACGAAAAAATACTACCGATTCCAATGATCGATTATTATTTTTCATAATCGATCATCGGAAACATACTTCTTATAAAATGCATTCTGGAATTATCCATTCCTGGTTTAAAATTCATTTCTTCGTAGTGAAAGGAAATGGCATCTGCACCTGATATTAGCCAACTAGCACAAAGCAGAGGTGATTAAGAACCAAAAAGTGCAGATATAGAAAGTGTAAAAGAAGCAAAACAACAAAGAAAACAATATATTGTATATTTTATATATTCATGTTAAAGAAATAATATGAAATATTTGTAAAAACTTGCTTTCTGTATACAAAACTATGTCATCCGATTATAATTGGTAAATTGCATCGGAAGCAGTAACCGATTCCAACCGATGATCGATTATAAAAATTAGCCGATGTCCCAGTATCTCGAACACCGTTATCTCAAATACCATGGATATGTCAAAGTGAATTGGAAGAACCAACCACTTATTCTTTAAGTATTTTACCCTCTATATCTCGAAGCTTTGGATATCTTGAAGTTTTTTTCGGTCCCATCAAGTTTGAGATAACAAGGTTTGACTGTATCTTAACTTCATATTTGCAAGTATTTTTGAGTTTAAAAAAAATTATCCCTACCCACCTACCCAATTTCTTTATCCTGAGTCGGGAGAGGGCAAGCAAACATTTTTTTTAAAGATGGCCTTTAGTATTTACTGATATTTTTTTTTTTTAACTAATTAAAACAATTTTTGTAGTGAGAAAAGACATTTAAAAAATATGCCAACTGCAGGGCTTGCTTATAAGGTAACTATAATGTACATGTGATTTTGGACTAAAGTGTCAAAGCTAATTCTTTTGTACCTGTAAGAATATAGAAACTTTATTTCTGAAAGCAGATTAAATCAGTCAACTAGATTATAAAGTCTTTTGCTTTAAAAGCTGATGGTTTTGAATTCACATTTTAGGGATTACAACTTCTTAGTCTGCCTCTACATGGCCATGTGAATACAGTTATCAATGCAGTAAGTAAGCATTCTTTTCATAATTTTCTGTTAAACACGATATTTCTCTGAAAATGAATTTTCATTCATTGTTGCTTTTAGATTTGTAAGTGTCTTCTCCCTAACTTGTTGATGTTGATGGGGGACAACCGAGTGGCAGCTCAGACTATCCCAAGACCAGTACTGATGGCAAGAGATCAAGCTATAAACTTTATCATGTCAGTGGCCTTATCTTTAGTCTAGTTTTTGTAAATATGATCCTTTTGTTCTTGTATCTTTTGTGTGATTTTAGTCAAATTCTTTTTTTGTGTGTTAAGTATGGCATAAATATGAAGGGAGAAAGGAGACTTTGGAGAACATATAAAAATGTTAATATTTTGATATGATTTACCTGTAGATATCTAATGAAGTGTGAGGCTCGCTCCCTGTCCAGCATAAGAACACTTCTACAACATCTGTGTACCAAAGTAACAGACCGAGCAGAGTATCGCACAAAAGTGGCTCAAGTAAGTACTTGTTTTAATATATACACATACTTGTTAAAAAAAAAAAAGTGTACAGATGAAATAAAAATAAGATCATGTGAATTATAAGTGACAGAGCTGCAATCTTATTCTTACTTAACATTGCATTCAAAGAAGAACCTGCAGGATGCTATATGTAGTACATATACATATATACTTATACTGATTCAATATCAACATGAATAGTGGAAGTCACAGTGACTACTATCTGTTGAATTCAATTGCATCACCATGAATATACATGAATTTAATTTGATACAGTTTCAAAAGCTGTCTTTGATAGTCATATGCCAGAAAGACATCATTACTGTTCAATACCTACATATTTATCTACATGTGTTTGCAGGCAGTGGTTAGTATCCTTCAAGAGATGCCCAGTGACCCATATGGTAAAATGGTAGAATGGTTTTACCGGCTCTCTAAGCATGCAAAGGTATGCATAAATGTATCTGCAGCATTAATGAAATTTTCACATGAAATTCTAAATGAGACATGTGGGGCTATGCAATTAAGAATTGCCCCATATGCCTCTTTAACAATTTTAACTAGCTTGAATAACATATTTTCTTTGAAAATTCTTACTTAAAAGTTGAAACTGCCTCAGATTTGTTTGTGTTTGCATTTATACTGAAATTGATGAAAAGTTTGGATAATAAATGAATCAATCTACAAAACTGTACAACTTTTTGCAGATGAATAATAGAGCATTCACCCTGGAGGTTGTTTCTTTATTACTGAACTCACCAGAAAGGGAAGTAGATGGTAAATGCTTGAATACATGTAATTGTTTACTATTTCTATTTAAAGTATTCTTCGTTTAACTAAACCTGTTTACTTTTACAGTTTCTGTATGGGTTCATAATTAGAAATATGCTTTATGAATTGATTTTACAAAAATATGGCAATAGCAATATTTCTGTTTCAATCAGAAAACATACATGTATTACTTTCCTTGTCTGTTTTTCCAATAAAATTCAAACACTAACATTTTTAGTGTCTATGCACTTAAACAATTTTTGTCCAGCTCACATTTGAAAGGCTTGGTAATGGCAGATTATTCATGGTTCTGTCATTGCTTAAAGAGACAGTACGGCTGCAAAATGTGTGCTTTTTCATCCAAATTTACGCAATATGTCATTAAGAAATAAGGTATAAAGTTGATGTAAGCAGTTTGAGAAACAGAAATATTCTCTACTCAAACAAAATTAACATATTTCGAATCTGCCGGAAAATCAAGGGTCATACGAACTGGAGCAATTTTAGATCTGTTTATTTGTACCACGTGAATTCTAAAACAGTTTACAGTTATAATGAATATTAGGTGAAAGCAATTTTCAAAAACACAAATTATCATAACTTTCTGATAAAATAATCTAAAATAATAATCGTAAAGATTTTAGTCTGCATTCAGGCGAATTTAACAGAATTAAAAGTACAAATGTTTACGTTTTGTGTATTGGGGTCCGAGAAAGGAAGAACCAACTAATCATACGTTATCGCGGCAAATGTCAAACTAAATATTTTTCTGCACAGTTAAAAAAAAATTAGCATTTCAAATGGCAACAATGTTTATAAGTCAAAGATGTATTTTTTATGTTGAGTTTACACTATTTTTTTTCTTTGAAAGCGACGGAAAAATGAGAAATGATAACAAGTATCAACAAACCTGTCGAATAGAACCTTCGAGAGCCCTGCGTGAGTGTCGCCGAGTTCCCGTTTCTTCCTTTTCCAGCGATTTTATTAATCCCCAAACTAAATTTTAGTCAGGAAAGTTGCTTTTTCAAGTTCTATTTTCAGTTTCTTTTTCTTTTTGGTCGACTTTGTCAATGTAGTAGGCCTACCGGGATTCCCTCTCTAACCATGCTGTTTTGTTTATGAAAACTAAGCATACGTGCATAGCATGGAATGTGGAACCCCGAACACGTTGCGATGTATATATTTACGTCCCATAAATAACTATTAATTTTAATGAAATAATCCAAATTATTTAATTGTAAAAGTTGTAATTTTCTGAAAGTTTATACATTTATGAGTAGTAAAAAAATTCCAAATCTTGTGGGAAAATTTTATCTAGTCAGTTTTTTGATGAGATGCGCCGTACTGTCACTTTAAAGATAGCTGTTATGGCTTTCATTTTTAGCTCACCTGAGCTGAAATCTGACTGACAAATGTTTTTCTGAAATTATGAGAAACAACAATTTGGGTAAATAGGTGCATTAAAGTACATGTAAATGCATACTGTAAACCAACTTTTATTCGTATGCGAGAAATATTCGTGAGTTTCGCGATCTATTTTAACTTGCGAATATTAATAGCCATGAACCATTTACTGTACACCAACTATTATTCTCGTCATCTTTTATTCATAAAATGTCAGTTTGAAATCAATCTGTGACAATTAACTTTCGCGACTCAGGAAACATTATCTACAAATACAAAGCAAATTAATTGGTTCGTGGCAATTAATATTCGCGAGTTAGGGTAGATCGCGAAACTCGTGAATATTTCTCGCATGCAAATAAAAGTTGGTTTACAGTATCTTGCTTTGTATTTGTTTAGAATAATTCCTCAGTCGTAAAAATTATTGATTTCAAAGTGACAAATCGTGAATAAAAGCATCTTCGCTAGCCAAGGGTTTCTGATACGCTACTCTCCTCAGAAACCCTTGGCATACGGTGCTGACAAAAGACGGGATTGTTTTCGTCACGTGATCACGATTCTTTCCAGGTACGCACAGATTGCGTCATCGACAGAAATAAAAACCGTATTTAAAAAAATAATGATTTTAAAGAATAATTAACAAGAAGGTATTGAGTTACGTTAATTTGTTATTTAAACATGTTAAAATGCAAATCTACATCTTCAGTATAGATTCTTAAGCACATATTTTGCACGTAGCTTAAGGTATTGGATGACACCATATAACGGCATGTTATCTTACGGATCATTGTTTACTTGCGTTTTTTATTCCCGATATTAAAGAGTCAAGATATATCCCGAACGCAAATATCGTCATTTACAAAAAACAATTGCTGATTGGTCGAATGGTGTCGATCAACTCCAATCACAACTTGAGAAAAATATCCCAACTTTTTTTAACACAGTATGCCAAGGGCTTATGAGGAGAGTAGCGTATCAGAAACCCTTGGCTAGCGAAGATGGAATAAAAGATGACGTAAATAATAGTTGGTTTACAGTATTCTAAAATTAAATAGTCGTATCATTAAGTATTTTAGTAAAGAGATTTGTTTTTCTTAATGTCTCTGATCTTTTAGGTAACATGCCACCAGAGACTGCCTCCTATATGAAGCACACTTCCCTGCTTGGAATTTTATTGGACAGGTGCTCAGATGCTGCCCCAACGTAGGTTACATAATGAATAAATATGTGTTTTGATAAGACACTTTTTTTCACAAACTTGCTTACCCATTTTATTAGAGGTGTATTGCATGCTTGTCATTTACATGTATATGACATTTTAAAGACAATGAAATATGGACTGGACACTATGATTTAGAAAATTTCTGCAATTTTTTTTTTTTTTTTTTTTTTTTTTTTTTTTTTTACACATTTAATACTTAGAAATTGTTTTCTTGAATTACCATATGTTTGAAACTGCATGTACAATGTAAATAGATTTTACAGGCATCTTTACAGCTATATGTAATTTCACAAACAAATTAGATTCTGAATGGATAATTTAACACCTTGTAGTGTAAGAGCACGAGCCATTTCAGCCTTCTCTCAGTGTTTTACCACTGCAGACATAGGCATAAAAAACACACTGAAGGAGATAGTTACCCCTGTCGTGGGCCCCAGACCAGCTCATGCTCCACATCTGATTCCCACCCCTGAGATGGGGAACAGGGCACAGTCTATGGTTGAAAGTAGGTATTGGCTAGAAAATGAAAGAGTTAAAACTGATTGGATGTTATATCCACCGCTAGTATTTTGCCACCAGTGTTTTCAGTAGTACATACAGTATATTATATGGATAAAATTTAAACAGACTAAAATGTTTACAACATTTTTCATCAATTTAAATATACGTATAAGATATATGCACATGTATAAAGATCTTTTTGAAATGTATTTTGAGAACAAGGACACATGCATTATATTTCTACATTTCAAATCTGAACTAGGCATATATTTTTTCCACAATGTACCTTGCATAATGTAATTTTTTGAAAAAAATTATATACATTTACCTCATATAAAATTTATGAACCGAATATTTGGGATAGAAACTTCCTAAATATACAACTCGCAAAGTGCGAGTACCAAAAAAATGAACTCGCAATTTCACAAGACTACTCACAATTTTAAAATAAAATGCCATTAAATGCAGGTTCTTAAAGAGAAATTTTATACTACTGTAAAACGCACAAAATACATGTTCAACTGCAGTCTCACTGTGTTTTATTCAAAGTATTGATTTGAATCAAATGCACTGTGTTCTGTAATTATTATGTAATTTGATAATATAATGGTCCAGTTTCAATGCTTGTTCTTTTTCCAGTTGATCTTGATTGACAGCCATAAACATATAAGTAAATAATTTAATTGCAAAAGTGTGGAATTTAGCCTACTTAACTGCCTTCATATTGTGGAGTAACAAAGTTCAACTGCTAACAACTTTACAAAAGAGTTCAACAAACATGTCATTCTCCACCCTCTACCATTGGCACATACATTTCGAGAAAAGAACGTACGACAACTCGGAAAGGGTGTTTGATCGTTCTCAACTGTTTTTTTCAAAGCACATGAATTTCAATGCTGGTGCTTTTTGATTTTAACATCAGCACCGTCCTCTATCTGTCATTTTCAAAACTTGGTAATTTTTGCATTCTGATTCACCATGCTGGTATTTAAAAATGGCGGAAATGTAAACAGTAGCTAACAAAACTGTAGGCTAGCATTGGGAAGGGACAGAAATTTTTTTCCCGGGTAAAGTTACAATGTCAAAAATCAACTTGCAATTTTTTGCAAGCAGTCAAATTTTTACCTCACAATTTGGATATTCTAACTCGCATTTTGTGAGTTGTATATAGTGAATTTCGAACCCTGATATTATTGTACATTATGTACACTGTACATATGCACCTGATGAACCATCCACATAGACATTTGTAAGTAAAGTACAGTCTAAGAGGCATAAATTATCTGTTTTAGTGACTGTGAGTGAAGCCAGCACAGATAAAACATCAGAAAATGCACAGCCCCTGGAGAATGATGAAACCCCAGTCAATACTGCCCCAAGGGTTCCCCCAAAGACTCCCTTCCATCAAGTGGTCTTAACACCCTTTAACCCCAGTGAGTATTATGTAATTAAACTGCAATTATATTTTTGGAAAATGTAAGCATAAAATTAAAATATCTGTAATCAAAGTGGAATGTATAAATACATGTATAAAGTTGTTAAAGTAAAATGTATTCTTAATTTATATGAAAGAATGTCCTTGTAACTATTATGGACACTGATACATATTTTAGCATCTTCATGATCTTTGTGGTCCCAAAAAATGACAGAGAACAATATATTTTGCAGATCTGCCTGATGAGCAGGGAGTACTCTCTATGTTGAGACGTCGAGCTCGAGATGAGAAGGTTAACGTGAGAAAGGCTGCCTTACAAGCTCTGGAATGTGTGATCAAGTTTGAGGCTCCGGATTACAGAAGACAGGTTAATGGAATTTCTTGCTTTGTAGATGTTTAACTTATTTTAAGGGAAAAAATTTTAAAAAAGAAAAAAATCCTTTATTGAATTTATTTGTACATAAATATGTACAGTAAAACATGCTTATAATGAAGTGCAAGGGACGGACAATTTGGCATCGTTATAAACATAATTCGTTATATCTGTTAAGTTTACAATATATTTTAAAGCCATGGGGAATAAAAATCACTTGTTGTTAGCGTCAATTCATTGTAAGCAGGTTTTATATACATGTACAGTATATGTAATGTGTATTGCATGTATATTGTAGGACCTAGATGTATTGGTAGAGAGATGCCGTGACCCTGCTCTGTCTGTCCGTAAGCAGGCCATGCAGAGTCTAACTGACCTTTTGTTCTCCATGCCTACAGAGAAACCTCTACAAAAGTTAGTCACATCTTTATCAGGATATAAAATTTAGCTGAATTTCTAACTTTTCTTCTGGATTTGGTACATGATTGGCCGTCAGTATATGTATAGATATTTTTTTTAGGTGTTGGTTGGATGGCGTTCTTCCCCTCGTCATTGACCGAGAGACAACACTCCAGGAGAAATGTATGGAGACATTGGAAGAAATCCTCCTTAACAATATTGTTCCTTTCAACAGGTTGGTGATGCAGTATGAGAAATTGTACATGTTTGAGTAAACTTCCATTTATTAAAAATATCAGAAGTTTTAAATTTAAGTAAATTTGAACACTGGTTTTCAGATCAAAAGATGAGGGCCATGACCTTGTTTGGAACATTCTAGAAATCATGACCCAGTTTGAAAGCTGTGATTTAAGGTATGGTAAAAAAAAATCATTGTAATTGTATGTCATTGTTTATATACATGTATGTAGATTTAAGACATAATAATACTTGTAACTTTACAGGCGATACCTACAAAAGGCGTGTAGACACTGGGCTCGTGTGGGGAAGATCAAATCAAACCTCATCACATCTTTAGAGTCTCATGTTGAGTCTAAAAATAATCAGGTTTGTGTAAATTTGCATGTAAAATAGTGTTAAATCTAAAGCAAACTAGCATGGCGCCGCGCCATGCCCTTTTCTCTCGGCGCCATGCCCTTTTTTCCAGCTCCATGCCCTTTTTTTTTAGCAAAAATAAATAGATATGCCTAGCAGAGGCAAGATCGACTAGCGGCTTTGTTTATTCAGTGCATGATGATTAGCCCCTTTGTTTATTTAATGCACGCAAAGCTGTGAATTCAGGACAGGAAATCACTTCTCGTTTGAACGCACACAGCCACCTGGCCAGGTAACATGCCTCAGGCTGTCTGGGTATAAGAGCTAGATAACACGAGAAAATATCATTTGATTGCATTGATTATGCAAGAATTAGCCCAATGTCAAAGATAGATTAATTTGTAAATTAAAATGTAACACATTTTAAATCTGGATCGTTTTTTTTTTTAATTGAAAGTAGAAAAAACAGAGATGATGAAGAAATGTGAAAAATAAAACTGCTGATGAATTAAGTCAACTTACAATGTACCAAAAAAAAACAACTGAATATTATGTGTGAAATGGGCTAGGAAACAACAAAATATGAAGTTAATTTCTTTCAACATGTTCAATGATTCTGTGTTCTAACTTTTTGAGGTGACAACCCGAGGCTCAATGTTTCTAAGCCAGAAAATTTTTTTTTATCCAATTTATATATTATTTCAAGTTTAATTTTTTGGTATGATCAGTTTTCACTTGATTTTGTTGGTAGATTACTTTCAAAATAAAGAGAATGCCCTCTACATTTATTATCCAAGTACCCCCCCCCCCCTTTGCAATTTTGTTCTGTTATTTACCTCATACACAAATAACAATATTAAAGCAAGGGAAAAAATTCATACCCCAAACTAAAATAATTCTTGAGCAAGTGACAAAAAGATTCACACCTATTACTTTTTAAGCATAACCTTGATAACCATACTAATTTCTTGATTAAAAAATTTGAATTTAAATTTTGGCAATAATTGCCCTGTCATTGTGTATTAAATGAATTAAGCTGACAGATTTATAAATTTTTCTTTTAGATACTCGTATAACTAAAGATTTCAGTGTTAAATAATAATTTAAGTACATAAACATGAAATATTTATAATTTCGAAGACGTTAAAAAAGTGCCATCATGAAAACTTGTCGCGGCGTAAAGTGCCCTTTTGATTATTGGATTACCATGCCTTTTTTAGGGTCTGGATTTACACTATAAAATGTGCGTAAAACTGTTCCAACTTGATTTTACAAACAAAATGCCAGATTTGGTATTGGTACTAAATGCAATTAAATTAGATACAAGATAAACAAGTCATGGTGTTATCAAAACATTATGTTCTTCAAATCTTATGTTGGACTTTAGGAGTATGGTATATACTGCTGATTGTTCTGTGTTTCAGGCTGCCTGGATGTTGCTAGCTGAACTGGCTCCAGCTGTGCAAAAATTCAGCCACGGATTCATTGTGAAATACTGGGAAAAGCATGCTGGCAGTACAAATGGTACAAACAGTTCAGATTAGGATTTTCTCAGATGTCTATTCTACCCTGGGACATGAAAATTTTTAGGAAATTCTTTCTGTATTTCAGAAACAGAGTACTACACACTACAGAGGGTGTTGACAGTGATGGGATGCTGTGCCAAACACATTCCTGCAGATCAAAGAGACCTGTTAATTGGTAATTTCATGTTTTATACAACTATCATCATGATTTAATGTAGGAATTATTGTTCAGATGAAACAAAAAATATATTCTGTCACGTAAATACCTTTGTTTTTGTTCATTTTAATTCTAATTTTTTTACTTTCTTTACTGCACTAAAATAAAAAAGCTATGTTACTGTGGAGCCTTCAATAATTATACTTTTATTAGAAAAACAATTTTATTTCCATAAGGAAATGTTAGTTGTTCATTTTGTTTCTTAATTACTGTACAGGCCATCTAAAAAAATAAATTACAAAATGTTTTCTAAACTTCTGTTTTGCAGAGAATCTGAAAGACAAACTTAAGAAGTTTGATTCCCCGCCAGAACTGATATCCACAACCATTAATACTCTATCCAAGGTAACAGAGTCCACATGAGTTTCTTCAGTTGAAGTCTACGGACTTCAATTACTTTGATTTAAGTTAGCTTCTTACTTCAAGCTTAGCTGATTTGACTTATTTTGTTTTGAAGTTATGTGAAGCTAAGGCTGAAGCTCTGGGATTGGCCAGTGAAAGGGAGGCTTGGTGCACTGACCTGTTGACCTCATCTGACAAGTACCTGTCCAAAGTCATCCTTCAACAAGATGGTATTTAACAAGTCATATTTCAACAAGGAACAATTGTTTTTGTTTGGTTTTGTTTTTTGTTTTTGATTTTTCAGTTCTTGATCAACACATCAAAGTACATGGAAAGATCATAGTCAAAACTTTCAATGATTTTGTATTATTATTGTCAATAAATTACCTTTGTTTTGTAAGACATTTTCTCTTTTTCCATCTAGGTGGTGTGATAAATGAAGATCTGGTAATACGTCACCTTTTCACATTGGGAGAAATTGCCCAGCTGTGCCCTGCCAGGACCCCAAAACGGATATACCTGATTGTACAGAGTATGGTGGCAGCCCCCTGTATCACAATGGCTCCCTCACAGACTGTCCTACCCTCTCAAGGTAGCATTTATAATTTTTTTATTTTAAAATGTATGAATCTTGTTGAATTTTGTTTTTTAATTATTATTTAAAGACCCAGCTTTTTTTTATTAAAGTTACCTGAGTAGAGGGTGTGGTCTTATACTTAGGTCACATTTAAACCAATGGTCGGGCAACCATATTTTTCTCATATTGTCGACTGTAAAACATGATCGGCTGACACTGGTATCGGGCGATGCGGAGCAGTCACATTAATTCCTAGGAACACTGATAATTTTTAAAAATTACATGTAAATAATTCTAAGTAGACCAATATCCTTCACTAATCCATAGTTTCATTTTCACTTTCGGCCAACATTTACAAAAGCCCAATTCTTAAATGTCGACTGGCCGACTTAAACTGTCTGCCTGTCTTTTTTTTTAATTTCCCTATGAATGGTCTGATTTTGCTTTAAAATTGTTCTCTATTTTGCTATAGTAAGTACTTAAATATCAGAAAAAAAATGTACAAGTTCAAAAATAAATCTCAATCCACTGTTTTCCAAAGAATTTACGTTTCTGTACTACAGTGGGTTTTTAAAAAAGAAGTTAATAGGATTATAACTTTAATAAGAAAAAGTCCATACTGTCAAAGCTAAGTTATTTTCTCTCAATTATTTTATTGTTTTTTGTTATTAGCTCACCTGAGCCAAAGGCTCAAGTGAGCTTTTCTGATCAAAATTTGTCCGTTGTCTGTCGTCGTCCTCGTTGTCGTTGTTGTCGTCATAAACTTTTCACATTTTCATCTTCTTCTCAAGAACCACTGCACCAATTTCAACCAAACTTGCCACAAAGTATTCTTGGATAAAGGGGATTTAAGTTTAAATGAAGGGCCATGCCTTCTTCCAGGGGGAGATAATTAAGATTCTATGAAAAATTAATGGCATCATTTAAAAATCTTCTTCTCAAGAACCACTGTGCTTGAAAATACGAAACTTATGTGGAATCATTGTGAGGTAGAGTAGATTCAAATTTGTTCAAATCATGACCCCCGGGGGTAGGGTGGGGCCACAATGGGGGATCAAAGTTTTACCTAGGAATACAGAAGAAAAATCTTTAAAAATCTTCTCAAGAACAGCAAAGCCGTGATTGGTCATATTTATATTAAAGCATCCTCAGGTAGTGTAGATTCAAGTTTGGTCAAATCATGACCCCCGGGGGTAGGGTGGGGCCACAATTGGGGTTTAAAGTTTTACATAGGAAAAATCTTTAAAAATCTTATTCTCGAGAACAGCAAAACTGTGATTGGTCATATTTATACTTTTTAATACTGAAATGATTAATTTTCTGTCTTTTCCTAGCAAAATTACTCAGGTGAGTGATGTGGCCCCTGGGCCTCTTCTTGTAAATTTATTCTTTTTGGTGGGGGGGGGGGGGTAAATTTTCCCAATTACAATGAATTTATTTTTCTCTGTATCAGTGTTTATTTCAAGCTAACAAATCTAGCTGCACATGAAAGAGCTTGGTCAGATAATTGATATCAAAATTTCCAATCTCATAGCATCAGGTAGCACAGGTAGCTTGCCTGTCAATCAAATCAGTAACTATTATTTCTAGTAGAACACGTGGTAAAGCACAGGTCTTGATGTAAGTATATTTAGGAGAGTTAATGTAAAATTGGGGTTTTAATAATGCATGTGACAGTAACTACATGTATATGTGTGTTTCTGATTACACAAATCATGCTTTAAAATACAGTACACATTTTTGCACCTTTTTTCTTTACTTTTAGTGCCACATGAAAATGTCAGTGGGTCATCTCACAACAGTTCTCATGGAAACCATAGTGGGGAATCCACTCAGAGTGCTGGGGTAAAACAAAATACATATAATAGAAAAATGTTTACTTTTGGGGGGGGGGGGATAATTTTGCCATTTTTGATCTTTGTTCACACTTAATAAATTTCTTAAATTTTAAATATCTAGAGCTTGTAAGTTAATACCAGTGAAATTTCTAGTGATGGCTGTATTTTAAGCTAGTGATGGTGCACTGTAACTACTTGTATATTGAATGCGGCAAATACATAAAGTGAACAGTGTTTGTTTTATTAGGCTCAGATTTCTGGATCTTCCCAACAAACTCAGTTTACACAGTTCACTCAATTAACACAGTTCCGAGGATCAAAAATGTCCAATAGGATCAGAGCCTTTGCCTTCATTGCATTAGGTAAGTCTTCATCGATATGAATGATAATTTTTATGCCCCCGGATCGAAAGATCCCGGGGGTATATTGTTTTTGTCCTGTCTGTCTGTTTGTCTGTTTGTTTGTCTGTCTGTCTGTTGTCAACTTTAACCTTGCCCATAACTTTTGATTGGTTGGAGCTATGACTTTCATATTTCACATGTGTATTCCTTGTGACAAGACCTTTCTTTGGGTACCATCATATTTGACCTTTTGACCTTGACCTTGGAGTTTGACCCACTTTTGCAAAATTTTATGAGACTTTAACCTTGGCCATAACTTCTGAACAGTTGGAGCTTGGGGTTTCAAACTTCACATGTGTATTCTTTGTGACAAGGCCTTCTTTTGGATACCAACCACTTTGACCTTTTGACCTTGACCTTGGACTTTGACCTACTTTTGAAAAACTTTAACCTTGGCCATAACTTTTGAACAGTTGGTGCCCAGGGTTTCAAACTTCACATGTGTATTCCTTGTGACAAGACCTTCCTCTGGATATCAACCACTTTGACCCTTTTGACCTTGACCTAGGAGTTTGACCTACTTTTGAAAAACTTTAACCTTGGCCATAACTTTTGAATGGTTGGAGCTCGGGCTTTCATACTTTACATATGTAATCCTTGTGACAAGACCTTCCTTTGAATACCAACGACTTTGACCTTTTGACCTTGACCTAGGAGTTTGACCTACTTTTGAAAAACTTTAACCTTAGCCATAACTTTTGAATGGTTTATGCTAGGGCTTTCATACTTCACATATGTAATCCTTGTGACAAGACCTTCCTTTGGATACCAACCACTTTGACCCTTTGACCTTGACCTAGGAGTTTGACCTACTTTTGAAAAACTTTAACCTTGGCCATAACTTTTGAATGGTTGGTGCTAGGGCTTTCATACTTCACATATGTAATCCTTGTGACTAGGTCTTCCTTTGGATACCAACCACTTTGACCTTGACCTTGACTTTTATTTTAAAAACTTTAACCTTCACCATAACTTTTGAACAGTTGTATCTAGGTCTTTCAAATTTCACAGGTGTTTTCCTCGAGACAAGATCTTTCTTTGGGTATCAACATTTTTTATCTTTTGGCCTGGATTTTGCCTTGCATTTGAGAAACTTTAACCTTCGACATAAGCTACCATACGGGGGCATAGTGTTTCACAAACACATCTTGTTTATTCACAATTGATCATACATTCTCAGATTATACCACATTTACATTGAAGGCAAGTTGTGCCTACAGAATGCAGAGCTAGCTAAGAAGTGTGTGGCTGCCTTGGCTCGAGAGCTAGAGATTTCTCCAGATCCTACCATCAGAAATAACATAGTCATCATTCTCTGTGACCTGTGTGTTAGGTTTGATATCATTTCTATTTCACTTGTGCAATGATTTGTGTTTTGAATAGACAGCAGCTGAACTTTGATATAGCTAACTTGAACATTAATATGTTGGATACTATGGTTATGTCAAAGAACATGTACATGTGAGTCAGTGGTAATGACTGTTTTTTTTTCCTACAGTGTATATATATATAGTAAGTGACAAAAGAACTCTGATAAGTCAAACTACATGTATAAATGTCAGATATTCAGAAAGTTGCACAGTTGCTAAAATTATCTGCAATATCTCAAAGTCAAGTGATTTTTTTCAATACAAGATACAAGTTTCAGATACTTAGGCTAAACTGTAGCTATTATACAAAGAATTTCTTCAGTTTTGTATGTGTTTCATATTTTAGGTACACTACTACAGTAGAACAGTATATGCCTTCCATTGCTGCATGTTTAAAGGATGAGGCGCCGCTTGTCCGTAAACAAACCCTAATCCTGATCACAAGGCTTCTGCAGGTAAGTGTAAAGGCATCATTTGATGTTTAACAATCATCAATTAATTAATTAATTTAATTAATCAATTGAAATAAGGAAAAGTGAAAGAAACAAAAAAAAATTAAGTAACATGACAAGATGTTTCTACATATACATACAGGAGGACTTCCTAAAATGGAAAGGAGCTCTGTTCTTTCGATTTATAACAACTCTCCTGGATGAGAAGAAGGAAATAGCAGAATTTGGTAAATAATTGTTTAAAGGTTGAAAATGAAATCTAGCTTAGAATATTAACATTTTTGCCAAATTGAGTTCTGAATGATTGCAAGTTTTTAAAAACAAGAGCAAGGTAATATTGGTGATTATCATACTTAATGGGTTCTTTAAATAGGTAATATATATTCTAATCATACTTATTCATACATATACATGTATATCTTTTTCTTAAGCTGAGTATTGCCTCATTCATGTCCTGTTACAAAGAAAACCAGCTATGTTTTCTAACCATTTCATGGAGTGTATCTTCCACTTCAATGCCTATGAGGGCCACTCAGGTAATTTTCATGTCTATTGTGTAATCATTTTGTTCTACTTGAACATATGGTATGTACATGTATATTTAAATTTGTATGTTTCATAGAGTCACTGAGTCACTGCAACAGTTGACTCAGAGTGGCTTGATGTTCTTAATCAGGCACTGGCCCTGATTTTTTTACCATAATAAAATTAGCAAATTTCTTCAAATTTGTTCTTGGTTTCTGGAACCTTGCTCTCTTGATTTTCAAATTTTCTCAAAGTATTTTCCAGGTCCCGTTATGAAAATCTTTTACATTATGTGTATTTGTAGAAAAATATTTCAAATCAATCAAAAATGTAGGCAGTTATGATATAGAAAACCATTGGATACAGATAAACATGGAGGGGGAGGGGCAACTTTTGGATTCCTGATCTCTCGAACTTTCGATCTCTCTCTTTTTTTCAGTGGTTCCTTGAACTTTGAGTTTTCTTGAGTCACCTGTATTTTATACATGTACATGTAAATGTAGATGTATGATTCAATGTTTCTCTGCAATTTGTTCTTGCATGTTATACATGTTCTTACATGAATTACATACATGTATAATCAATTTGTATGTTCACTGATGATTATCTGTATTTTTCCAGCCTATAATAAATTTGCACAGAATGAAAGAGAAAAGAAAATGTTTTCATTACATGGAACGGCTAAAGAGAAGTACCAGCAATTTATTTTTTTTTTTTTACATATACCTGTATGCAAGGATAATATTGAGATATTGAACTAAGATGTGACCTTGTTAAAATTACAAAAGAAATGTGAAGCAATATTACATGCTTGTGACTTTATCAACAACTTTGAATTGAAATCAATCATAAATACATGTTAATGCTTGAGTGAGCATTCAGTTTATTTCCCTATCAGTACATTTGCCCTGCCTTTCATTTAGAGACAGGTTGAAGCTGTACTGCTTTATGCTGGAGCACATGACAGATGAACAGAGATTTCACATGACTGCAAAGATTTGTACTGAGGTAAAGATAACAATGGCAACAGAAAATAACAGACTGGTTCATGAAAATAAATTTCTTTTTTATGGACCCAAATGATAACTTTTTTAATATTCAGATCTTGGGAGGAGTGGTTGACAATTTAATACCACTGGACAATGCAAGTTCAGCTCTTCTCAAGGATGCTCTTGCTATTCTAAGTTGTAAGGTAGGTAGGCATTGTAACTTGGATTTGTAATTTATTGTATATCTTGTAGTATTTATACCTTGCTTGCAAAATTATGGGGTATTATGTTTTACTGATAATGGACTGGTGGACAAGAGGGTGTCTCAATGATTTCTGGGAGATAATTTTTAAATGCATTATTCTAGGGACTTCATATTTCCAAGTAGATGTAGATACCAAAACATTTGAATCATTACTTTTTGTTTATAATTTGCCTATTACATACATGTATGTTGCAATAAGAACAATTAATCAATCAAAACCCTGAACTAACATATGTGTACATGTATAATGCATACATATGCCTACTATTGCTACAGGAAATAAAGCTGTCCTCTTTGAAGACAAAGCCACAGGAAGATGCTGGTGGAGATGAACAGGAAATGGCAGCCATTGTCATAGCAACAGCCAAGAAAACACTCATTTCACAGGTAAGCAGACTTTTGCCTGTAATTACATGTATATGTTTATTTTAAAGGAATATTGTTTACAAGAATTTAAAGTATTGGTACTACATGTCATGTATATGTACTTCTGTCCAAGATGAGGTGTCTTTTCATAAATGTTTTATTTTACAGGTTGTGAAAAAGAATGTTATAGAAAATATTGTGCCTATTGTTGTATCACTGAAGCACATGGTAAGAACGAAATTCATTTCTAATGTGCATTTTTGATTTTATCTGTAATTGATATGAAGATTAGGATAATGACAGGAGTATAATTTAAATCTGACAAGGTTAACATTCTTGTATATTCAGCTGGAGAAGCACAGGTCACCTGTTCTGAAGGACTTGATGTGTTATCTAAGAGAACTCATGCAGGACTACAAGACAGAGGTTAAAGGTTAGGTACTACATCTACCCATATGCATGTCTTTCTCTTGTTCTAAATGATTTAAAAATTCCTCTGTTAATGTTTATCTTAGTTTGTGCAACAGAAGCAAGAATAGCTTTTACAGTTGTTCTTGAATTTCTTTTCTTTTTTTTTTCTTTTTTTTTTTTGGAAATAGATATCTTGTCAGCTGATAGACAATTAGCAAAGGAGATAGAATTTGATCTGAGGAAGTTTGAGGAAGAACAAGAGGAGATAAAGAGACAGCAAGATCAACAGAACACAGTACAGAGTCTTCAGGTAATAATACAAAGTAGTCCAGAGCCTTTATTGCATTATGCATCAATATCAAGCATGTCTGTAGGCTAGCTGATTTAAGTAATGTAGTAGTATCTTAAAATCCTATGTAAATAATTGGAATACATGTGAATAAACATATGCATGTATTTTTATGCCCCGCCATGAATATGGCTGGGGCATATAGTGTTTGTCATGTCCGTCTTCCGTCCTTCCGTCTGTCTTTCCGTCACACTTTGCGTTTAGCTCTGTTCAAAGCTCAGTTTCAAAGAAACTATCCAAGATATTTTTATCAAACTTCATATGCTGATACATACTGATGAGGGCTATGCAACTGCATCAACATTTTTTTACCTTGACCTTTCCTTTGACCTTGACCTCACTTTTCTTAAATTACTGTTTAGCTCAGTTTTAAAGATACCATTCAAGATAGTGTTATCAAACTTCATATGCTGATACATACTGATGAGAGCTATTCAACTGCATCAACATTTTTTGACCTTGACCTTTCCTTTGACCTTGACCTCACTTTTCTTAAATTAGTGTCAAACTTCACATGCTGATACATACTGATGAGAGCTATTCAACTACATCAATATTTTTTTTACCTTGACCTTTCCTTTGACCTTGACCCCACTTTTCTTAAATAAGTGTCAAACTTCATATGCTGATACATACTAATGTAAGCTATTCAACTGCATCAATATATTTTTTCACCTTGATCTTTCCTTTGACCTTGACCTCACTTTTCTCAATTTGTGTTAAAATGTTGCATTACTAATATACCCCCAGCGGGGCATTCATGTCCTATGGACATATTTCTAGTTTTCATGTTTACAATGTGTTTTCTTAAGCAGGATTGATTCATCACAAACAAAATCAGATTTCTGATTATTTTGGTTATCATGTTTGGTTTTTTGTTTGTTTGTTTGGTTTTTTTTTTGAAAGCTTTATATATATATTGATGATTAAGAGAAAATAATCTTTGGAAAGCAAATTGAAAGAGGTACATTACATACATAATTGGTGTCTGAATTATTGAGGTGCTACAGTATTTGACATGTATACAGTCATGCCTTATATGAACAATTTGCTTCATTTATTTCATCAGTTATTAATTTACTACATGCAAATATCAATTTATTTTTTTCTCTGATTATTAGGGAACACCAGGATCTAGCCCAAGAACAGTGGTGGCAGGACCACTGGCTAGATCTCCCCAGATCACCCCCTTATCTCGACCTCCTGGGCATCCTGGATCACCAGCCAACAGTCCCCTGGGTCAGAGACAAGGTTCTACAGGGTATGTGACACATGTACTGTAAAGTCACAAATTTTCCTGGGGTAAAATTTTCATGGTTTGAGGGAAATATATTGGTTCATGAGGATTTGATTTCATAGTTGAAGAAACCTTGAGTTGTTTTATATTTGAAATTTTACATTTAGCAGAGGACCTGAGTTCTTGTGTCTCTTCATACCATGAAAACAATAAAGTGATTTCACGCTTTTTAGCTCTACTGGTCAGAGACCAGAAGAGCTTATGCCATAGTAAGGCTGTCTGTAAACAATTTTTCAAAATGCTACTCTTCCTACAGTTTTGGTCTGATTTCAATATAACTCGGCACACAAGTAGACTACACTAAGATACATAATTCTGTATATCAGTTTTTGATCTCGATGAACGGTGTTGCCATGGTTACTAAAAATAGAACATTCTGTGAAATACTTTCAAAATGCTACTCCTCCTACAGTTTTGGTCTGATTTCAATATAACTTGGCACGCAAGTAGACTGCTCTAAGATACATAATTCTGTTTATCAGCTTTTGATTTTGATGAACGGTGTTGCCATGGTTACTAAAAATATAAATTTCTGTAAAATATTTTCAAAATGCTACTCCTACAGTTTTTTTCTGATTTCAGTATAACTATGCACACAAGTAGACTACACTCAGATACATAATTCTGTATATCGGTTTTTGATTTTGATGAACGGTGTTGCCATGGTTACAAAAAATGGAAATTTTTGTGAAATACTTTCCAAACGCTACTCCTCCTACAGTTTTGGTTCGATTAAAATATTATTTTGCACACAAGTAGACTACACTAAGATACATAATTCTGTTTATGGGTTTTTGATTTTGATGAACAGTGTTGCCACTGTTACTAAAAATAGAAATTTCTGTGAAATACTTTCAAAATGCTACTCTTCCTACATTTCTTTCTACTGGCATGCAAGTAGACTATACTGAGATACATAAATGTCTTAATTGTTTTTAGCTCACCTGAGCTTTTCTGATCACCCGTTGTCCGTCCGTCCGTCTGTCCGTTCATCTGTAAACTTTTCACATTTTCAACTTCTTCTCAAGAACCACAGGGCCAATTTTAACCAAACTTGATACAAAGTATCCTTGGGTGCAGGGGAGTATAAATTGTTAAAATAAAGGGCCAAGTCCCCTTACAAGGGGAGATAATCAAGAAAAGACAAAAATATGGTGGGGTCATTTAAAAAAACTTTTTCTCAAGAACCACTGGGCCAGAAAAGCTGAAACTTATGTGGAAGCATCCTGGGATAGTGTAGATTCTAAATTATAAAAATCATGACCCCCGGGGGTAGGGCGGGGCCACAATAGGGAATCCAAGTTTTACATTGAAATATATAAGAAAAATCTTGAAAAATCTTCTTCTGAAGAACCACTGGGCCAGAAAAACTGAAACTTATATGGAAGCATCCTGGGGTAGTGTAGAATCTAAATAATTCAAATCATGACCCTCGGGGGAGGGCGGGGCCACAATAGGGAATCCCAAGTTTTTCATTGAAATGTATAAGAAAAATCTTGAAAAATCTTCTGAAGAACCACTGGGCCAGAAAAACTGAAACTTATATGGAAGCATCCTGGGGTAGTATAGATTCTAAATTGTTCAAATCATGACCCCCAGGGGTAGGGTGGGGCCACAATAGGGAATCCAAGTTTTATATTGAAGAATATAGGAAAAATCTTTTAAAAAATCTTCTTCTGAAGAACCACTGGACCAGAAAAACTGAAACTTATATGGAAGCATCCTGGGGTAGTGTAGAATCTAATTTGTTCAAATCATGACCCTCGGGGTAGGGCGGGGCCACAATAGGGAATCCAAGTTATACATTGAAATAAATAAGAACCACTGGACCAGAAAAGCTGAAACTTATATGGAAGCATCTTGGGGTAGTGTAGATTCTAAATTGTAAAAATCATGACCCCCGGGGGTAGGGCGGGGCCACAATAGGGAAGTTTTACATTGAAATATATAGGAAAAATCTTTTAAAATCTTCTTCTCAAGAACCACTGGGCCAGAAAAGCTGAAACTTAAAGTGGAAGCATCCATTGTTCAAATCATGACCCCGGGAGTAGGGAAGAACACAATAGGGAATCCAAGTTTTACACTGAAATATATAAGAAAAATCTTTAAAAATTTCTTTTCAAGAACCACTGGACCAGAAAAGCTGTAACTTATTTGGAAGCATCCTGGGGTAGTGTAGAATCTAAATTGTTCAAATCATGACCCCCGGGGGGTAGGGCGGGGCCACAATAGGTATTACAGTGGGGGAAATCTGGTAAAGAACAGCATGGCCAAAGTTACTCAGGTGAGCGATGTGGCCCATGGACCTCTTGTTTGATTAATGATGTTGCCATGGTAACCAAAAATGAAATTTCTGTTGAATTCTTTTAAAAGGCTACTCCTCCTACAGTTTTAGTCTGATTGCAATCTTGCCACAAAAAGAAACAAAATCAAGTATCATTATTCTATTTATTGCTGTTGCAAAGTTTCACATCCAAGTGCTGCTTTTCTCTTCCTTAATTATTAGTACAAACCAGTAGAGCTACAGTCTCGACAGAGACTTCTGGTTGATTTCTTGTAGTGAACTTCATGTGTAAATATGAGATGTCTTTCAGGATAGTTTTAAATTCATATGTATTTTTCAAGGAATTTATACTTTTTAAACTATGGTTTCTTATATTTAGGCCAAGTACCCCAGCACCCGTTGCACAATTGAACAAGACTGCACCTTTGCCAATGAGTGTTAGATCAAAGGACCTTGCAAGGTGACTGAAATTTTCTTGCACAGTTGAACTTCGTTATCTCAAATTTTGATAACTCAAATACCATGGATAAGTTGAGGGGAGTTAGAAGTACCAACCACCTTTTCTTTATGTGTTTTAACCTCAGTATCTCAAATCTTCAGATATCTTGCAGGTTTTCTCTGTCCCATTGAGCATGAGAGAATGAAGTTTGACTGTATATAATGAGTCTAAAAATCACAAAGTGTATGGTTTGCCATACAAAGAATACTAGTGCCATATGTTTATTTTTACATGGATTTCATGCTTTTGTAAATGTGGATACATTATGAAGGCAAATCTTTGAAATACATTTTATCAGAGCTCCAGATAAGGTGCGTATTTGCAGAAATATGCATTGAATTTTTCAAAATACGCATTAAAAATTAAAATAGGGCGTACAATTATGCATTAGCAATCATAAATAAGCATTACTCTACGAAAATACTGCCTATGACGGATTCAATGATATAAGTACGATTTAACTAAGGTCAGCTCAGTGTTTGAAGTTTTTAATTTATAAGCGTATTCGGAATAACCTAGGCCAAATTCCAGTTCGAGAGAAAGATTTGAATATTAAATACTTGTTCTTTGTCTGAAAATATCACAGATTTCCAAAGTTCATATAACATCCAAATTTTCGTTCTTGACGCATACACGTCGATATTGTCAAAATTGCGCCTAACACGCATGGTATCTAATTTATCCTGTATCACTGTATTAAACATTTCTTGTATATTTACCATTTTCTGTAGCAGTAACATCATCTAAAGTCCGATGACAACCTTTATTAATTATATAAAAATAATTGCTTCTTTGCTTTCCACATGATCCTGTGCTATAAGTAGCGCCACACAATTTTTAATGCAAACGGGGAGTAACTCTAAAACTTTTACATGTACTTCGATCGATGCCAACAATTTATATAGCAAAACATAGTATATAATTTTTTGATTTAAAAAACAAAGAAACAAACAAACAAAATGGAAAACAACGGGGCTGGATATTTTGAGAGGGGCATGTATGGATGAGAATCTAAAGATTAATTTTATCTGGCCAAAGGAAGGATATTTTTCTCGGTAATTCTTGCTACGGTTGATATAGGCCTAAATCTTAAATGGATTTCTGTGTGCCCGTGGTAACTTTGCCTACCGTATGGTCTTTCTGGTGAAAAAAAGCGAAATGTTTCTCAGTTGATTTTTGTCAGCTAAAAGCTGACAAAATTTTTAAAATTTCATTAACCTAATTGATAAATGCAGAAACTGTCTTTTTTTTTTCTTACATTCCTCTTTTAAACGCACTTATTTTGATAACAAGCTAAAAATCACATTAGATGTCAAAAGAGCAATAGATTAACAAAATACTTTTTGATTATATTGCTGAAAAACAAAATCTGCATTGATTTGAAAATCAGGGAGTAAATACACTTTGATGTGAAAAATTATCTGGAGCTCTGTTTTATAGAATCAATATTGGTTGACATTAATTTTAGGTAAGTGTACTAGATAAATGACCCATGGTGAATTACATCTAATGAGGTACATGTAAATTATACATGTACTGTACATAAAGGATGAAAAAGTGGTGGTCCCTGGTCAACATGTTAGCGAAGGTGACAACTTTATAAATTGTCAGGTAAATACATGTACATATATAATGGAAGAATGACTGTCACTGGGCTCCAGTGAAAGGGAGATAAACACTCAACTCCATACACTGTCATGGGATATTCAAGTATATATGAAGATGCTAAACGAAGGTGTATAGGTCACGTGTTACATGTAACTGTTTTTGAAGGACTTGCATCTGTGTCCATATTCTCTATCTTTTTCTCTCTGTATTCTTGTCTTAGCAATTACTAGAAATGTTAACTTCGGGAGGTCGGCTACCAAAAGGGTACATCATTTGTCCGCATATCTCCTGCTTCAGTCTTCAAGATTGGAAATTTTTATTTACAGATCAATTGTACATACAGTATATTAGAGATGTGCATAATACTTGGTTTTTGATAACTTTTGAGAAAAATACAAGTTGTTGAACTTCGTCAATTTTATGCAAAATGGAATGTCATCTCCTACAGTTTTCAGAACAGAAAGTATTTATGATTAGGGCCCCGCAAGGATTTGTGGGTGCCCTATAGTAATCACTCTGTCTGTCTGTCTGTCCGTCTGTCATTCTTCCGTCCACAAATTTTCTGTTTTTTTTCTAGTTTTCTAGTAACTTTTTTTGTACTTGACCAATTAAGTTCAAATTTGGTATGTTGGTTGAAGAGGCAGTAAGACATATTTTGATGCTAAGTTTGGTTCTCTGTGTCATCCAGTTTGGAGCTGGGATGGTGGGGTAGATTCCTTATCTTTACATTAGAATGAATGCCAGGGCAAAGAGAGATAACTGCTGAGAATGTTCCTATTGGAAACTATGAAAACTGCAACTAGTCCCATGGGATTAATTAATGTTCCTCTTGAAGAAAATCCAAAGCATTATCTGATTCTGTCAAATTGAGATTAATTAACAACTCTGTCTGCAAATAAAGTTTGTTTTGAAGTTAAGGTCAATTCTGAATGAAGGGGAACAAAATTTGTGAATTTCATGGTCCCCCCCCCCCCCCCCCCCCCCCCCGAGGGCTGAGGGGTGGGGCTAAAACAACCAAAATTAATGCAATCTTTAAAAATCTTCTTCTTTACTCCTGGACGTGAAGCAGTCAAACTGTTGGCATGATTGTAATCAGCATTGAGCCCTCTACCAAAATTGTGAAATTCATGGCCCCAGGGTCAGGGGTTCTGGTGCTAGGGCGGGGCTATATAGATCATATAGTGAAAGTGCATTTATCTTTGAAAATCTTCTTCTCTACTCCTGGGTATTGTTGAAACAAATTGAATACATAGTTATGATAAGTAAGGGTGACTCTACCAAAATTGTGAAATTCATGACCCCAGGGTCAAGGGTTCTGGTGAAAAAGTTGGGGGGGGGGGACTCTATTGATTATAAAGTGAAAAAGCAAAATTTCTTTGAAAATATTCTTCTCTACTCCTGGGTATTATTGAAACAAATTAAATACATAGTTATGATAAGCAAGGATGCCTCTTCAAAATTGTGAATTTCATGGCCCCTGGATCAGGGGTTCTGATATATATATTAGGGCCGGGCTCTATTTATTATATATGGAAAATACATTTCCGGTAATGCTTTAAAAATCTTCTTCTCTGCTCCTGGGTATTATTTAAACAAACTAAGTACATTGTTATGATAAGCAAGGATGCCTCTTTCAAAATTGTGAAATTCATGGCCCCAGGGACAGGGGTTCTGGTGCTAGGGTGGGGCTATATAGATCCTATAGTGAAGGTGAATTATTTCTTTGAAAATCTTCTTCTCTGCCCCTGGGTATTATTTAAACAAACTAAGTACATTGTTATGATACGCAAGGATGCCATTTCCAAAATTGTGAATTTCATGGCCCCAGTGTCAAGGGTTTTGGTGAAAAGGGAGGGGGGCTCTATTGATTATATAGTGAAAAAGCAAAATATGTTTGAAAATATTCTGGTTAAAAAGCAAAGAAGCTAAGTGTATAGTTATGATGAGCAAGAGTGCTTCTTCCAGAGTAGTGAATTTCATGACCCCTGGGTCAGATGTGCTGGTGTAAGGGTTGGGCTCTTTATAATATAGTGAAAATGCATTAATTCTATTAAATAATCCTGTCTGCTCCTTAGTGTTAAGCAGATAAACAAAGTGATTACTTATGATGAGCAAACTTCTGGTCCCAGGGTGAGAGGCTCTGGTGTTTCTCGGTGGGGAGGGGGGTGCTCTATTGATAATATAGTGAATATAGTGTATCTGTAGTAAAAATGCATTATTTCTTTAAGAATCTTCTCTGCACCTGGGCATATCAGAGGCAAAAAGAGTAAAAGTTTGGAGTTATTCCCCTTTGCCATTTACTTTTGATAATTAATCACTGTAAATAATGTACTTGAAAGGTTGATAGAATAGGAGAATTATGCAAGAATTTTATTGTATAATACAAAAAGTATTTCATAGTTTTAATGATCAGGTAGACTTGTAAGTAATAGACAAATAAAAATGAGACAAAAATAACTTGTCTTATTAAATGTTCATCGAAGACCAAGAGAGGCCAATGTAAGAGATTTCAACAAGGAATTAAAATAGTATAGAAGCACTGATAGTTTGTTAATATACTGTGTGGTGAGAATGATAAATGGGGAAGAGTATGAACTGTTAATGAATACTATACTAATTATTTTGTTGATCCTGATCACCCTATTTTTCTTACTTTTGGGCAACAGAAGTTCACCTTTCAGTTCATTTTATACTCTATGGATTCTCTAAATTGTTGTATTATACTCAGGTGACCGTTAAGGTCCTTGGGCCTCTTGTTTAATTTTTTTTATAATCAATTAAAATTCTCATTCTGTAAGTTGCACCCTTATATTTCTACCCCTCGGCGGGGCCCTTGCTGACTGGTCAGTTTTCTAGTTTATGTGAGAAATACCACTACTGTTCACACAAAAGAAAACCCAGTTTGCTGTAACATTGACAGGTTTCCCCTTGTTTAAATTTTAATTATTTTGCATAATGCATGTACTTTCCTAGATGGGATATTCAAGATTAACATGAATTCATGATGGTTTGTTAAAATTAGCAGCATAAAAGCTTCATTTTAAACCATAGTCAATTAAAAAAATTCATTGACAGACTGCAATGGAGCATCAAAGAGGCTTCATTCTAAAAACTGATAATTCTTGGTAGAAGTTCATTGACAGATTTATATATACCGGTACATGTAAACAATATTTATGGGCTGTTTTGCAGGTAGGTTTTTCATGGTTCCAAAATTTTTCGGGTTTGGTCGGTTCTGTAAATTTTTGGTTTGGTTTCGGGTTTTTGGGTTCAGTTATTTACATCTATTTGAAACCTTACTTTCATGAATTTAACTCGAAAAATCTTTATTTTATTACTGTAACGTTAAATTCACCTTGAAAACAAGGCTTAACCACGTTAACACTTTGATCGGTGTTTAGGACTACTGGGCCAATTATTAGCTACAGCCTGACCATTCTAATTATTTAATCCTTTGTAACGTGTTTTGGCAGATGAAATGAAGTAGATTTCAGTTTTGATGTTTATTAAATACTATTACTGCCATCATTCTTTTTATTTTGACACCAGTTTTTGTATAAAACAGATTTTAATATATAAACCAGACCCGAATTGAAAAATGGAATGGAAACTGAACCGAACAACTTGGACCGTGGTTTTCGGTTATTTCGGGTAACCGTGACAGCCCTATTTGCAGGATATCATTTGTTATTGAAGAATGTTTTGAACTTTATTATTTCAAATCATTTACAGACATATATGTACATGTGAAAGATGGGATAAGTTTCATGCATTTCTTGATTGTTTTTATCACTGCTACCATTACAGAGATCAGTCATTGTCTACTCTGGCTATATTGAACTCTGCCAGAAAGGCTTTCTTAAAAGCCAAAGAAAACAGCCCAGCTGGAGCTGGTCAGTCAAACAGGAGGAAATCCAGTCTGGCTACAGAGGAGAAATCAACAGAGAGGGAGGAGGAAACCCCACCCTTGACTGTCAGGGTAATACATGTATATCCCTACCTTGTCTGTAAATACCTTATGTAAATTCTGACATAGGATTTTTTTGTACCTTGTACAAGTATGATATACTGTATTCAATACATGTAAACTTCACTGTAGAATTATAATGCTGTTGATAAATATCATAGTGTATATGGAGGATATTTATTGTTTTGTACTTGAAAATGGAATTTATTCATGAAATAGGATTTTTTTTTTTTTTTTAAATTCACATGTGCTTTGCAGCTACAGAACATTGAATTTTTCTGTTTATTTTATTTTCTTTGGTTTCCTTGTGCCCCTGTATTTTTATATTATAGCTAAGGAATTGTGGGATGGAAAATTTTTAACATGGATTTTAACAACAATTTTAAAAATATTGAGTTTTAATCAGTGGCAGGATGGAATATTTACCTACTCACCTATCCAGAGGAAGTATTTTCTTATAACACAGTCACTGTTCATGAAGGGAAGGAAAATCTTGAGTTCTGCCCCAATGTTTCATATTTTCATTAGGAAAAATGTCACTTTTGATGTTTTGGCTGTGAAAATTCCACTTATTCACTTTTACTATTCACTTACATTTTTAATCCCATGATTTTAAAAAAGGGTTACATGTATACATATTGTTTTCTCCATCTGTCCATCAGTCTTTCACATTTTCTTGTCAGTAGAATTCTTGAATATTTAGAGATCCCCCCCCCCCAATAAAAGGTATACTGTGTATGATAACCAAGAAGACATGCAAAAAGAATTTGGTTCATTATATTGGTTTTCATTGATTTAAAATCTTTTTGTTCTTTCTTCAGTTCTCTGCAGATTTGCCATCAGGGTCCTCAGACAGTGTATCGACTCCACCCAGAGCTACTAGATCCACAAACAGGGCCATCAGCACTCCCACAGGTAAAATGTCATAGCTGATAGCTTGAAATAAGTTTGGTTTGTGTTTCTTGATATAATAATATCTTCATTTACATATAAAGATATGTTTCTTTTGAAAATCTTGACACATTGATTTCATTTGTTACAGGAGCAGAGAGTAAGTCGGATTATACACATACAGACAAACCTTGTTATCTCAAACTCAATGGAACCTAGGATCTAGAAATCCCATGAATCAATATATCAATGTTAAAATACATGTACTAAAAAAAAAGAGTTGTTTAGACTTTTAAATCATTTGAATTAAACATATCCATGGTATCTGCGATATAGAAGTTAGAGATAACAAATTTCAACTGTACTTGTATTAGCTGCACTTGTGTTATATTATGAGAAAGAATGCTTTCCATTTATATATTCTACATGTACACTTTAGTGGTTTTTCAATTTGGTATTTATCAGAATTAAAATATCTACTGTAGAGAGATAATTATGTTTAGTGTCAGAAGGAAAAAAAAAATCAATTAAGTTGTACTTTTGAAACCCATGTGTGCACATGTTGCTGTCTAGAAAGGCTATATTCATTGCAGTTGTATTTCAGTTTCATGTACATCAAGTAAAAACTGACCATTCAGCTTCCCAAAAACCCACCGAAAACAGATTATTTTCCTAATTTTACTACCTTTGAATGTAGAACGTTTTGCTTTGAATAATTCACACAATATAGTTTTCTGTCCGTAGATTTCTGTTCTTACTCTTAGCAAATGAGATTTGCTTTAACCTACAATATATGTAATAACACTTCTGGTGGAAAAGTTCTGTATTTTTTTTCTGTTCACTGTCAAATTTCTTTGTGTCCTTTGTGTACATATAAGGCCATCCTTAAAAGATTGTTTGGTTGCCCTCTCCCAACCGACTGGTTAAAAAGGGCCCGACTCAACACTTTTTTTAACTTCCAGAAACCAATTATTTTTTTAATTAGTATTCGGAACAATAGAATTTAAAAATTTAGCATTGAAATTGAAATTTCTAAGAAAAAAAAATTTCTTACCTACCTACCGACCCAAATTTTCCATCCTGAGTTGGGAGAGGGCAAACAAACATTATTTTAAAGTTGGCTTAAAAAGTTTAAATTTAGAATTAATGTATGATCTCTAAATGATATTGCTGATATTTGAATTTCAGGAATCCTGTTCTGAAATCAACACACTATGTGTTGCAAAGAATCTGGCCCCGGGATCAGGAAACATCTTAAGCTTAAGTCAAAATCTTCATGTTGAACTAAAATTCTATAAAAGTCAAGTAGACAAAATTAAAATATTTTTCAATATTACTTTACAAAAGTGTTGTTTTCTGCAAATTTGGAGGTAAATTCAAATATTAATAAACATTTTAGAGGTGATTGAAAATCTGACTTAAGTCCAAGTCTGTTTCATGATCCTGGAGCCTGGCTGTTTAATTTGAATACCCAGTTAATGTGATTTTCTTCCATGAAATGGATTTATTTTGATATACTATTTCTATTTTAGGTGTGCTAGACAACATAACTTTTCACATTGACCAAAATGTGACCCTGATTCCTCCCTCTCCAATCCCCTCCTCCATACCCATCAGGGTATATCCAGCTGATACCAATTCAGGTACACATTATGTAGTAGTCAAAAATTAAAAAAAAAACAAAAAAACCTTGCATATCATTCATGTACAAAAGTACTATGTTGAAGAAGGTGATGGTATAAGGTGTATATACTTGTCTTTTTTAATCAGATTCTACATTTTATTGCAGCTCCTCCAACTTGCATTAAAAGGAAGGGAGATAACCCAAATAAGGACTTCATCTATATGTTTTCTCCTGACAAGCCGTAAGTTTATATACCGTATTTCTACTTACAGTCATAATAAAAAAAATATATTTTATGTGTTTCTATAGCTGTACAGGTCATTTTAAATCTCAGAGTGTTATTGTATTTTCAGGCTTCCAAAACCAAAAAAGTGGAATGTGACATCACCTGTAAGAAATTGATTTTACTTTCTTAGGAATAAATTTCTGTTTTCAATGGATTTTATTTTAAATTTTTGGTATACAGTATTTCTCATTTGCCTCTTGTTTTTCTGAAACTAGGCTCCAGTGCCAAAGAAAAATGCTTCACCACAGCAAGAGGATGATCTAGTTTCTTTATCAGAGTCGGGCACTAAATCCTCGAAAGAATCATCTATTTTGAGCAAGAAATCAAACCAGAAAGCTAACAAAGAAAGTAGCGGCAAAACTGATGCAGGGAGACGAAAATCAACAAGACGAGGGAGAAAAAAGTGAGAATTGACTTGAGGAAATGTAAACAAGACTCATTACTGCTTAAAGTTAGTGTATTAATCATGTGTATCACTGTTTCTGAAACAAATCATGATATTTTAATTTGACAGGCTCAAATAAAATAAATTCAACAGTAGTACATGTCTGTATGTTTTTTGCCTGGTTTCCATTGGAAAAGTCTGGTTATTGAGAAAGTGACGTGACCTCTGCTTTTCTAGTGCACAAAGTAAAAAATGAAAGATTAAGAAAAACATTCATTTTATTTATGGCAATAGGGCAAACTTGGTCCAAAAAATTCCAGTTTTTTTGGCAGATACCCCTTTGACTTGGTGAAAGAAAGAATCTTTTCATGTTTATAAAAGATTCCGAGTCATTTTTATGCAAAATTTGTTTTACTCCTAATTTTTCTGGCTTGCTGTTACTTTGTCAGCTTAACCTTATTCTTAAACTGAAGCAATTTACTGAAATTCTGTGTATAATGCTAGCAGTTTTACACAAGGAAAAATTCTGTACAAATTGAATTGCGATAGGAAAGTGATTAACATTTTAGAATAAACAGTATGAATATATATCAAGTGAGATATTTCTGCCAACCAGTCATACAGGGCCGTGTTCAAGATCGAAGCCGCTATAATCTTGAACTACATTCTAGCCAGTACTACGATCTTTAACGCAGCCTGTGTTTAATTTTTAAGCACTTCCTGAGTGTCCTATGGTTACTAACTCGCAAAGAAGTTAGTAGTTCAAAATATCTAACCTTTTCCAGGCTTATAAAATTTACAGTTTTGATATTTGATGCCTGGAAAACGTTAGATATTTTTTGGACTAAAGAGTTACAAGGAAAAATAGCAGCTTTCCTGAATGTAAGTAACGGTGTAAGTGGACGTGAGATATGACCCTGGGATCAAGTCAAAATTTCAAAAAATGGCTTGTCAACTGAAACTTTATTTGCAGACACCAACAGTTTTATTATGCAATTTTGAATACAATTTTCATTTTTAGACTGTTTAAGGATACATAACACAAACAAAAATTTTATGCATGGACTGATATATATTTTTTGACTGATTTTGAATGGAAATGACATAAATAATCAATCCTTAAAATAAAAGGAAATCGTAAGTTTTCTTTGATTCTTAGGTATGCGACTTTGTATCATTTTCTATGTAGTTCTATACAAAATTTTGTACATATTTTTGACATCGTGAAAAAATCTTACAAAATTCTTTCACTTTACCTGGAAAATGTCATTCAGGTTATCTATTTGAATATTAATCTATTCTGTGAGAAATATTGCTGATTTCTGGAAAAAAAATTGTTTGTGTTATTTATCCTTAAGAGAGATATCAGAGATTAATAAATGATATCTTTGAGTAGTCAATCCAATCAACCTATGATGAAAACATTAACTTCTATTTCCTTTTGCCTATACTTTTCAAATTTTATTTTATTTGACTCAAAACAAAAAAATCCAGTTTTAAAACCCTTACAGATTGTTAAGTTCTATATTTTTTTGTACCATTTCAAAAATGTTTTAATGTGCAGTTTTAAATAGATATATGTAGTACATGTACCAGTATGAAATGGATACCATTTGACCTTTCAGTCTTAAACTAAATAGATCATTAGTAGGTGAGCAGAGGATCATTTAAGGGTTAAAAGGTCAAGATGAAGGGGTTGGGGACAGGTGTAAATTACCATTTTACCTGGATAAAAAAAGGATCAAGGTTTTTTAATCAACTAGTGCTGTAAATTCAGAGTTGGGGTCAATTACTTTGAAATGTAATTAAATACTTTCAAATACATTGAAAATTTTGTCAATTACTGTTTCACTTTCAAAAATCTTGAAGAACAAATGCATGTTAATTTAAGGTAGGGGGAATATTTAGAATAAATGTCAGGTGCCTTTCATGTTTGTGTGTTTCATCAACATAAGACCTAGTCCTACATGTACATGTACATTTAAAAATTGACTGCCTTTATGAAATTTGTTAAAAGCAAATTTTCAACAGTTTATGAAAAAAATTACGATATGGGGTAATTGAAAAAAGTAATTGTAATTGAGTGTAATTCATCACATTTATCAAAGTAATTGTAAGTAATTTATAATTGACCATTTTTTCAATTACTTGTATTTGAATATTATTAATTACATTGAAAAAATACCCTGTAATTTCAATTACTTCTCAATAACATTTCAATTACTTTACATAATACATATTGTGTATTTAAAAGGAAATACAATATAAAAGAGGTAGGCATCGAAGGTTCAAAATGGATGAATCCTATAGAATGGGGAGGACTAACAGGTACTTGAGTAACTATGTAACTAAGTAACGTATATTACTAAGAAATTAAATGTGTCTATATTTTGCTGTGTATGATGTGAAAAACCAACCTTACCTCACTCTGTCACAGAGGTTTACTACACTGTTATACACGAAAGCCAGGATTAATTTATGGAGAAAAAAATAGCGTAATAACGCGAAAAAGACGTTATACGGATACCTCTTTCAAAAAGGCGTAATTACCCATTTTCAAAAGGCATTATTACGCCTTTTCAAAATTATTAATACGTTATTACGCCTTTAAAAAAGGCCTTTTTCAATACATATGTTACTTAGCCTACCCTGAGGCAGTAATATTGATTCCACCATTCATGTATTTATTAAGATATAATAACTCCGTACCATTTTTCGCTATAATACCTTTTCAAACAAGATCATATTACGAGGGGGAAGGGGCACTCCCACCTCACCCCACTTTTTGGGAGATCAGTATTGCTATAGTTTTAATATTAAAAAAAAATAGTTCTTTTCTCTGTTATGTTTTGTGTTGTTTTTTGTTCGTCAATTTTACGGGAGGCTGGTCTAACCTCCCACACCCCCACTTTCAAAAATGTTGCTACGGGCCTGTCAAAAGGCGTCAAAACGCCTTTTAAAAGGCAGAATATACCGCCTTTTAGGATAGCGTGATAGCGCGAATAAAGGCGTTATTACTTCTTTCAAAAAGCTTTCCAATGTGAAAAACGCGTAATGGTTTTTTTTCGCATTATTATTATTACGCCTTTATTGGCGTTATAACGTTTCTTCACTTCTTAATAACGCCTATTAGAAAGGCTTAAGGAAGGATTCTTATCTGGTTTCTAACTAAATGAAATATTCATATTTCCTTATATGTCTTATATATTTAGATGTAAGGGATTTAAAAGATCCTATTTTTCTTTCCTCTTCATAACTGTACAACTTTAAATAAAAATGGTAAACTGAGTTTGAAATCTAGCAGGGACTATATTTTTGGCGGAACGACGGCGTATGAAAATATCTCCTTTTCTGCTTCTCAAAATTACTACAAAACAATGAATGTACAAATTAAAATTTTAAAACAATCAAAAACTTTAAGAAATTTTCTATTGTAACTAAAATTAATAATAATGAACTAAAGTTTTAAAATATATCAAATAAAAATATATTCCAAACAAAAATTAAAATTTTAAAACAATCAAAAACTTTAAGAAATTTTCTATTTTAACTAAAATTAATAATAATGAACTAAAGTTTTAAAATATATCAAATAAAAATATATTCCATACAAACTACAATCTTGTTAGCTTTTGAAAGCTTCCAATCTAAGTACAGATTTTAGCAAAAATCAGTAAAAAATGTTGGGTTTTTTTCTCCCTAGGTAAACGGGCAAATCGTTTTGTTTTTGTATCATTTTGTATCTTTATATGACTACTTTACCATATGTGAAAATAAGAAAAATTTAATACGAAGCATGCAATAATAACTAATATTCCCTAAAAATTTAAGGAAAAAAATAGAGGAAATTCGGATTAGATAATATCTATTTTAGTTAAATTATCTATGTCAATTTGGTAGTATCATTTGATAGACCCTATATGGTTACATCTTTTTATGCAAAAAGATAAACATTTTATCTTTTGAAATAGAAGTAGGCATTACATGACTGGCAATAGTATTTTTTTACTCTCAATATCAACAGAGACATATAATCCCTCTATTATATGCCTCTGATGTCAAGGAAAAAGATAAGATAATGACCTAGACCTGAGTTTGCTTCTGAAATAAAACGGTCAAATTTAATCAAATCGATACCATCACTTATTATACCCCCCGCAAACGAAGTTTAGGGGGGTATATTGGAATCGTCATGTCCGTCTGTCTGTCCGTCTGTCCGTCTCTCTGTAGACAAGATTTTGTCCAGACCGTTTCTCGGAAACTATTGCATAGATTTGTCTGAAAATTTGTACACTTATTATTCACCATATGAAGGTGTGCACCTGGTATTTTCATCATGATTGAATAATTTTTCTGCATTTTACAGTTGTTTTTTGCATTTTTATTATGTGGTTTTATCCTGACCTTTTCTCAAAGACTATTTCATAGAATTGTATGAAAATTTGTACACTCATTATTTACCATATGAAGTTGTGCACCTGGTATTTTCAACATTATTTGATAATTTTTCTGCATTTTACAGGTTTTTTTTTCATTTTTATTGACTTAGTCATTTTGGGTTTATTTCTAAGGTTTGAGACATATCTAGAACATCTGTACAAAAATGTGAACTACAGCTTAAAACTATTCATTAAAACAAAAAAATCACCAAGTATTAAAACAATTTTTACATTACACAGCAGATAGTGTAAATCCATTTGTCCCTTGGGAGTAATGAGTGGACATCATCCAGTTAGAGATAAATTAATGAGTTCAGTGTGGGAAGTTGTTAGGGCATCTCTGATCAAGCATATGTGTTATCTATATCTCCTGGGAATGTAAAGATCAGCTCTGTTCTTTGATTCTCTTAATTGTAATTTATTGTCTGTCATAGTACATAGTTCCTGGATGACCAGCCTTTTATTTTTAAAATGAATTTGATATAAAGTTATCAAGATTAATTTGATTTTGTAATTAATTGATTTTTTTTCAACAATCAATATGCAGAATGTCATGTCTCAAAAAGATGACAGATAGTTGCAATTTTTTTTCAATGTTTCAAAAAACAGTGTAATTACAGTGTATTGGTATTGATGTTTTATTAGGTTGTTCCTTGGTTTCATTCATTAAAAAAATATAATGAGCAACTATTTTTTCACTCTAAATGTTAATAAGA